CAGTCACGGCATCACATCTAAACTCATTCGACAAGAAAAAGGGGGTTATCGACGTATGAATGCTAAAAGGTTCCTGATACTACGCATAACATTAAGTTGAAATTTAGCATAACTAATTATCCCAAAGTTCGTGTGATCCTCAAGATCCCACTGTCCAATAAAGTACACTCCCGTAAACTAAACCATTGTTACTTATTATTGTAATTGACATGATGGAATGTAGGAAAAAATGATGGGCTGCTGAAGATGCGAGATATAAAAGTTGATTAATAGATGTAGATATCAGCATTGGTGAACACAAGTGAAGAATGATATATGTTCAAGATCAGCGGGACTGACTTCTCCAACCTAGAGTATCTCATGATTTTATGAAATTGCTATTGGCAAATAAGCAGTCAGCTCATATTGTGGTAGGCAGAGGTGCATATTCGAAGAAAACAATCGTATATTGGAAGTTATCCGTTTTAATTTTTTGGCAGAGTTCAAACATTTTGATACGAAGCTAAACTTATATGATGTCAGCGCAAATTATTTCTAAAAGGACTGTATTTTTTAAAAAAAGACTTTTTAATTGCACCAAGAATCGTTCTATCTCAACAGAATCTGATGATGTTTTTAAAACGTGATCAACAACCAGCTGAATTTCATTTCAACGATCACGCTTTTTAATATCACAGTTCGCTTTTTAACTAAAAGTTTGGTTTTACGCGGGATTGCAGCATACACTGAGAGAATAATGGAAGAGTATACAATAATTGTATGAAAAGGGTAGTAGGAGGTTAGAAAATTATATAGTTCGGTTATAATGCGCCAGATTGCTTCATGGACCAAAAGACTTCGCGACAATAAAGGATGCCAAGAAGGGGAGGTCCAACGAACATGCAAACCCAGAAAAATGCATTGCCTAGCCAGCTACGCTTACGGATGATAGGATGACGTCCAATAATAATCAAAGGAATTTGTAACATTTGCAGAATGAAAAGATACATTCTGATTTTGCGAGTGACGATGACCAAGACCAGTTCATGAAGACATGAGGATATGAAGAAGGTGAGGAATGTAGCATTGGTCTTGGTTAATTTGTATGCTTCCATGGAAGACGCATACACATGTCGAAGCAAGAAATGATGTACAGGCTTATTCCATTTTCGGGCAAATTCGTCGTAGGTTACACTATTCCACCAGTCTTCGTAAAAGTTTCGATCAGCAAACCTGGGTTTAGCAGATAAGTAAGTGGCTTGCTTCGATAAAGCTTAAAAAAAAAAACATCTCATGGGCGGCTTAGCTGCTTACATGCTTATTTCCGCAAACGCATTGAGAATGCACTCGAAAATGATGTAAAAGATAAGGAGATAGTTGATCATGAAGGGAAACAAGAGTTCAACAATCACACGAGCTTCGGACATGGTAGGGTCGTAGAGTTTTGGGAGAATGTATCTCTCGGTTGTGACGTACAGCAATAAGAAGCTGCCCAGGGTGGCAACCGTCTTTTCAAACACATACCAGGGGCGAATGCTATAAGGTAGGGTGGTTGTCAGTACTAAAGCGATGGCAAGTGGCAACTATTCTCTGTATGCCCTTACCGGTCCGTCCTCGGGTATTCCATCCAGTACACCAGACTTGGCACCAGCAAGTAGTCGAGATAATTTACCAAGGTAATATTCTTAGGGAAGAGCGTCTTGCCGTGCACAAGGTCTTCTTCGATAATTTCCAATTCCTCCTCCATCACCTTCAGTTCAGCAGCATCGGTCTCTGAATAGCCGCGATATTCCTTTTCGGATTGAACGGTGATTTCAGATGCGATAGAGGCATCGTCGGCCACATCAGACAATGACGGAGATACCGGAAGGTGCGGGCTTCCTTCACCAGTGTGATGCTCCGCTATCCATTTTGGGATGTATTCCTTTAAGTACTTGCGACGTCGCAGCTTCAAAGACAAGTTTCCATTCAATGACGTGTATGAATGCATTTTCATCATCATCACAATGGTGTGCAAAGTGAAAAATCCTGACTGCACCCAAGGCCAATCTCTGTCAAACGTAGTATGGGATACTTAGCCCCTGTGGTTGTTTTTTTTTTCCTTGCTTACACGCTAAAACCAAACTTACCTCCAGAAAGTCCAATAAATACTGACAAACAAGAAGACCGCTTGAAAAACGTGTTGTAAAATGAAACCAATATTGTCGTAAGGCAGCCAACCAGAAAGTATGAGCTTAGAGAAAGGTACCGAAAATAACGTCATTGAAACCATTGCAAGGTCCGATATTAACAGAGCCAAGCCGTCCTTTGAAAATAACCTAAAGAAGCCAAGGGATAGCAGAATGCCTTCTTGTTCGTAGCACCGGATAACAGTTTGAAGGACATAGAAGGCCATAGCGAGCCAGAATAGAGTAAAAAATCCGCGAAACTGATCGTTCGTGGATTCGGGATTGGCTAGATCTAACGGAGTCATGCGTGGCCTGAATGTCAAGCGACGACGTCGTTTGGAACGCACCGAAGGATTTGATACAGGTGTAGTAGTATCAGGGGATGAGTTTATCTTGCTCAAAGGTGGTCTCTCGTCAAATTCCGCAGGGTCATGTAGGCCACTCTTATTCAAGATAGGTTCAGACTGCAGCGCTGAGCCATTGGTATAGATATTGTTATGCACAGCGTGCTTGAGCAGGCTGGTATGATCAAACTTTGGGGTTTCTGTAGTTTCTGTGGAAACCATTGCGGCTGTCATGATTTTTTGCCCTAGGGCGGTTATGATATGAAGTAGTGAAGAGGTAAGAAAAAGGGAGGAGAAAAAATTACGGGAGCTAAAAAGGCTTTGGTTCGGACCTTGGCACTTGACATCTTGGAGCTCAACAATCATTTTGTGACTGTTATCTAGTACCAAATTACGAAGTTCCCTTGCTCTTCTTGGCTTTTTTGTTGGGCGTCCGTCATTCAATTGCCTCGGTCTCACACTATGGTCACCCGGCATTTCTTGGTGGAGTCGATACATGTCATACTTGGCGAAACATCCGTACCTTGGCTGGAGAGCCGCACTTTGCTTCTGATGTTGGCTCAGTTGCGTCATTCTGTGTGTATTACACAGAAAGAAGACTACGCTCACATTTAAAAAGGTGCTCATCCGATGCATTTTGATGTTATCGCGACCATAGTAATTAAATTGGGGTTGTGGCGAGAAATTAACGTGGTCAGTAGGGGGACATAAAAGTGACCAGTATGGAATAAAAAGTGCGAACAGGGGCGTACAAGGTTCAACGAAAAGATTGTTTGATCTGTCCTACCATTGATCTTGGCTCAACGCAATGTTCTGGAGCATGAATGGGCTCAAGAGCTGTATGAAACAGTGCTTGGCATGTGAACTCACTTAATAACCCTAAAAGCGGTAATACGTGCTGGTAAATCAAACTGTCAACTACCACGAATCACTTGGATTCAAATTAATCAAATTTACCATTGGACCGAGCTGACTAAAATCATACTCTTACGCATGGGTTCGAACAGCGGCTGCAGCAATGCACCAAACTTTGGACCACAGTTCCACACTGTATATTCGTATCTGTCCTGCAGCTGTTCAGAGCTTTGGGAAAATGCAATACCCATGCCAAGGCAATTTCATCAGATTTGCGCACTGCCAAGCGTTGTGATCGGATTTAGAGGCTGGATCATGAAAAAATAACGTTCTAAATAGTGATGGATTGTATGACAAGGGACAAGTTATCAACAATGAAACTTTTGACTTCACGGCGACTTGGTGTTGACGCCACCACATATTTTTTTTTTTTTGCCCCAAGTGTAGCTTGCTTGGTCTGCTTAGCAATACAGGGTTGATTGAAAGGTAGGTCCCACTGTGGCCAAAAACTAATTAATAAGACTAAAATTCTGGTTTTTTATACTGCCTTTCAAGGAAGGGAGTAGACTAAGCCGAATTTATAGCCGTACGAGAGTGTTCAGAACATACCGCGATTCCTTAAGACCAAAGGTGTCTAAAAAGAAAATCTTTTGGCTGCCTGTAAATTTGCCTTGCATGCTGAGCTTGAATAAAAAAAATTGTTCATGGACGTTTTACAATCCTGGTATTCGAATGATAAAGTATCAACATCCAACAGCGAGCTCATAGGACAGCATACAACCTTTCGTAACATTGGTAGAAGTGAATCATGTTAAGACACTTTTCCAATTATAGTACAAAGCATACCATCGCTACTGTGTGTGGACTGTCATTGTTCACCAGGTCTCTCCTGCATATGCTTCTGAGCCGAAATTTTTTTTCTATTGTTTCCTACATTTTCAAGTATGAGATGTCTGAAAAAAAATCTTACGTCGTTGTTTCTTCTTTTCTTTCTTTATGTCAGAACAGAATACTACAATAGAGCCGGCCTCTGAAGTCGTACGCTTATCTACCAGCAAATACCTTTCAGATCTTGATGTCACATCTACCGACGATACGACGCCTACAATAAACGATAATGAGTGGCAAGAACCAATCCGAGCGCCACATATGGGCCTATTGAGTAGTTGTAATATGGTAAGTTCAACCGATCCAGTATATACGTTGATTCTATATGCACCACTGACTATAAGTAGATCATTGGGCTGATCATTGGAAGTGGTATCTTCGCATCACCTGGTCCAGTGTTGGTGAGCTATTGTTTGCGATCAACGTATGGTAGCCAATAAAACAAGCTCATTAATTGATGTACGCCATACATCTTTGTTTTCGTAGCTTACAGTAGGATCGGTTGGAGCGTCATTATGTGTATGGGCACTTGGTGGCATACTGTCCATGATGGGTGCACTATGCTACGCTGAATTAGGATGTATGATCCAGCGCTCTGGAGGAGAATACCAATACCTCAAGGCTTCTTGGGGCAGCTGTGTCGCACTAACGTTTACCTGGAGCAACCTTGTCCTAAGCAACGCAATTGGAACAGCGTCTATTTCCATCGTATTTGCACAATATATCTGTAATATGGCCTATTATGATACTGCGAATCATGATACCCCCAAGAACGTTCCTACTTACCTGGTCAAGCTAGTCGCCGTCGCATGTATTTGGGCGATTATCTTATTCAACAGCCTTGCTCGTCGTGCGGGGAGCATGGTCCAAAATGTTTTCACATTTGCAAAGTTACTGGCTTTGACGATGATCATCGTCATAGGATTTGTCTGGTTAGGAAAGGGCCATGTAGAACCCTTTCATGATTCGTTTGCCAACAGTTCAACGAATGGTTTATCCTACGGCACTGCTATGTATCTCGCACTGTTCTCATACAATGGCTGGGTAAGTCACATACTTATCCAAAATAGTGTGGAAGTAAGACAACTCATCAAAATCAATCGAATTAGAATAATTTGAACTACGGGCTTGGAGAGGTCAAAGTAAGTAAAAAAGCCAAAGAAATTTTTTTTGCCGATTATGAATAAGCATTTTGACTGACAAGCATCCATTTATTTGACATTCACGCAGAACCCGAAAAAAAACCTTCCTCTCGCCATTGTTCTATCCTGCGCTTTGGTCACAACTCTCTACATCTTGGCTAACATTGCTTACCTGGCAGTGCTTGGTACTGAAACCGTTGCAAAAAGTTCAACAATAGCTATGCTTTTGGGTTACCAGGTCTGGGGAACAGCTGGAGCTTACTTTTTCGCATTGATGGTTGTCTTGTCGACTTTCGGGGCTGTCAACGGCAATGTGTGGGCCGCTTCTCGTGTCATGGTTGCTGCAGCTCAAGATGGAATTATTTTCCCCAAATTTCTCGCGCACCATCACCGTAGCCGAGAGGCACCCATACGTGCTTTGGTTTTCACCGGCATCATTGGTAGCTTATGGTGCATCCCGGGCGACTTCACTTACTTGGCCAACATTTACTCGTTTATAGGATGGCTCTGGTATGGAATAACCATCTCTGGGTTGATATACATGCGGTTCTCTGCGGATATGAAAGCCGCTGAGCGACCTTTCAAAGTCTGGCTACCCATCGCCATTCTTTTTGTTATTCTGGATTGCTACCTTGTGGTGGCTCCTCTTGTCGATGCTGGACCTGGCGGTGTTACGCAGTATATTATTTGTATCCTCATCGGCTTACTTGCTGTCCCTGTCTGGTTCATTCGTGTACATAAGCCTGCACTTGGACGGAGATTGTTGGGTTGGATACCAGGATATCAAGATGTCACTTATGTTGACACAACTGAAAAGGCGGGTGTGCCATCAGAGAAACATAGTCGTGAAGATTAGGAAATAATATATCTTTTATTAGCATGTTGCTTTGGCGCAATGCTTATGGCATGGTCATTGCAATTTCTATTCACCGAGAAAGGCGATATTGAAAAAAAAAAAATAAAGACGCAATTGCAGGTCAGAATGGGTCCACAGGCATCCGCGCATGGGCTTAAAGGTTTTGGGGGGATTTTTAATTTAATTGTGATTTTTGCACCCCCAATCCAACAGACAGTGCAATTTCTCTCAACGTGTTCATTGGAGCATATTGAATTTGGTAACTTTCTTTGTTGGCCATAATGGTGTTGCTTTTTCAATTCATGGATTGTTATCGCAACTGAGGGGCGTTATTTTCATTCGTACACAGCGACCCCAAAAACATACAGTTGAAACCACGACCCAGCTGAAGGGGCAGGCACCAGAAAATGACGCAATGAACAATGTGTTGCTATGCACAATGGCTATCGTCCGTCCATCCAAAGGTCGTTTCACATTTATAAGCTGGTCTGGTTGCAAGAACACACAGCGAGCGCTTCTGTCCCACCCGTTTCAATTCCCACAAATTTTCATGACCAAGCAGCAACGGAATACGAGTGAAGTTTTTCTTTTTTTAGCGCTATATTATGTTTAAGAAAAAAAAATCAATAAAGTTGGAGGTTTTTGATCTGTAAGTTGATAGCAAGAACAAAAAAAGGGGGGGAGGCGACATGTATATCCATGGTGAGCCCAGTGAACAAAAAAAGATAGGGGAATAATATTGGAAAAAAAAAAAATAAAGAGAGGGAGGAGGTAGAGGGAATGTTAAAAAAGCAGAGGAAACCAAGGAAAAAAAGAATATTACAAGAAGAGTTGTAGTTTTGATGGTATGAATGGGATTCCCCTCCTCCCAACCAACAAAATCACTTGTGGGATTTAGTTCACTGAGCATATTATAGAAACAAAGGGATTTTTTGTGAGAGTTTAAAGGCCTTCCATCATCATAATATCTTCGTCGTCTTCAGTTGCGTCTTCGTCTTCATCCTCTTCAGTGTCAGGTTCAAGGGACACAGTAGATTCTCTAGATTCTTTTGTATTAGCTGAAGGACTCTCTCCATCGGCAATCTCCAGTTCTTCTTCATCCTCTTCGTTCTCAAGTTTAATGTGGCTAATTTGAGGAAGAGAGCCTTGGCTGTCTCGCCTTGACTGGTCCATGCCGACCAAAATAGCGGCGGCTTCCAATAGCTGAACTTGTTGATGTTTTGTAATATTGAGTTTACTCGTCATGGCCCACTGTTCCGAGTGCTCCCACCGATGCTTGTACAAACAGTTTGCATGCTTGTACACTTTGCCACACTCCTCGCATCGATGCAAAGTCTTTCTTCCTGCTGATTCTGATAACGAAGCTACACGTAGCTTTCGGTTGGCTTCAGAAGGTCGACGTGGTCTACCGGCAGGGGATGTTGCCAAGATATCACGCGGAGAGGACATGGAAGGCCGTCTTAGGCTGGAGTTATTTGCCACAGAGGAGCATGTGGAGCTGATGGGTGTTCCTGGGTGAATAATAGGAATAGGTGCTGAATGGTCGATTGTGTAGTTCTCTGGTAGAGAAGCTGGCGCTTGCTTCTGTTCCATCAGAGACAAGCCAGATAGCTGGGTACCAAGTGAGTCTCTTCTTAGAAAAGACTGCGCAGGTATACTTTGAGCCAGCACTGACTTTCTACTAGGCTGATGTTTAAGCGATTCGCTTGTTCCATGAGAGGGGTCTGGTGAAGTGGATGATGAGTCGTCCCCACAGGAACTACTAGGAGGAGAGGGAAGCGATGAGCTGGACTCAGCTGAGCTCATGTCGTTCCTGAGCTCCTCTTTCTGCTGTTGTCTTAACTGGAAGGTTAGAGACGATGCCATGTTGCGCTTATATAGAATTGCGTTAAGTAGGTAGAGATGTAGGTTGAGAAGTGTAAGGGAATTTTTTTTTATTTCTTGAGCCCAAAAAAAAAGATGGAAAAAAAGGTCAGCGCATCTCCAAAAAAGAATTGGGCGGAACCTCAAAAAAATGGCCTCTGTGAGAACACTGGGTCCTGTCCCCTCGTACTTGGTCTAAAAACAGGTCAGAGTATCCATGAAACATCTCTCGACTAGACGGAAAACTCGGTTTTTAATATCAAGGAACAGAAAGATAAATCAATCAAATTACAAAAGAATGCTATATGCCTAACCGAAGGCCTTTCATTAAAAGGTCGGTATTGGTGGCTTGGAGGCTCAAAAGTGTTCCATGGGATCACGCGCCTTGACCTTAGGGTCTCTACGTCATCACATCGTTTCCCAGCCTCCACAGTCATACGTTGCTTCGAGTTTGCGACCCACGTACACTGGAATATTATGTTGCAGCCAAAGTTTCATTATATCATCATAACGTTTTTGATTAAGAAACTGTGGTCGACCTCGCCTAAGAGAGAAAAAGACATTAATCATCATTTCCAATGAAACATGCTATTACAATTGATATGAAACCAAGACTTACTTGAGCCCAAGGTCAACTTCGCCATGCCAGTCTAGGTAGGGAGCACTGATGAAACAGCCATTGCCAGTGCGCAACAGTAAAATTACACAGCGTTTCACATCCAGATAGATGCCAATTTCACCTCCGCACACAGATTGATGTAAGTTGCATTCACCGTATTCGCCTTCCGAACAACAGTAGCTTTGAGAACACACAAATGTACCACAGAGTAAACAGAGGGCTGGATCATTGGGTATGGTGCCGCATCGATGACAAACACAGCGCAAACTAATTTCAAACAGTTCATCCAATCTTCTGGGTAGCTTAACCAGGTGGAATGTCGTTGGAAGATTGAGAGCCACGGCTTGCTGGTCAGTGGGTTCGTTCGCCAAGAGGTGACACCATTCTTGGATCAGCGATTGTTCTTCGGCTAATATATTTCGCCGGTCCAATAGATCCTCGATTTTCGGCAAGCTTAGTTGACTGCACACTTGTTCGACCTCCTGCTGAATTGTCCAATCAGCGTCAGTTCTGTTGCCGGATGGCAGAAGAAGTCCATGTCGAGTAACCATCAGAATTGTACATTTTCGAAGATAAGGAAGTACAAATGTTTGCAAGACTTGGAAAAAGGCGGTTTCTCCCATGGACCTAAGGCAATGCTCCACCGCTTCATAGGACATCCCAAAAGGCTCCATAATGGCCGCTACAAACGATGTGACCGTACTTGAGGGGTGTGAACACGATTGCAGTTGATTGATGGCATTGAAAAGCGTTTCGGTCCGAATATTGTTTGGGCGTCCATCCATGGCCTGCATGATACCAATAGTCGCTTTCACAATCTCTGCAAGATATAGTAGCCGCATGAGGTGATGTACAGGTACATCGAGTACCGTCACACAGTACAATGATAATTCGGCCAACACCAAGAATGGATCATCTAGGAGCAGTGGTTGATTTTGATAAGAAAATCCCTGAGCAACACTTGTATCACTAACGCTCCTTGGTATAGCAATGGACGGATATAATTGAGCCATACGGCCAACCGCCATCAGATTGAGTTTTGGATCATTGGATAAACCAGAGTTCCTCACACTAGTGAATGCAATAATGGTTTCCGGCAAAATACGTAACAACGTTTGCATTTGCGGTGCCATAAAGTCCATGATGGTGTTGGAATATTCGCCACCAGGTTCCACGGTTGGGATTTTTTGTGACCTAAGGGCAATTTCTACAGCTGAAATTGTGAAGCCATACAGAGACCATAGCAGGTCCACATTTTTTACATAATTTGATAACCGAAGGGCATCCATGGTCTTATCACCGCATACAAGGCTTAATGCTTGACATGATAGGCGCATGACTTCAGATAGTTGAGCGTACGATTTGCTGATATTGCTGATGAGATTTGTATCTGAATTCGTGGTATTAAGCGTCTCATTGCCAAATGGTCCTAGAGGATTAGGGCCGTTGCCACCTGAACCAAAATTCAACCCAGAGAGCGGCAAAGATGGAAGAGTGTGCGGTACAATATCTGAATTTTCCACACGTAAAGATGATGCTGAAAGGGACGTAAATCCTTCACGGTATCGAGAAGGGGTTCCGTTTCCTCCACGTCGCCGTTGACGGCCGTGGCCATTACTTTTGATCATCCCACCAAGGTCGTCTACAATTCGGTGCATATCTTGTTGCAGAAAGCCAGCATACGCTTCATCATTAGCTGGAGTGAGAACACCAGGATAACTTTCACGTGTAGATTTCCAGGCAATGGGTAGCAGTGCATTCCCAAGTGATTTGCACAATGGGCATACAAATTCTCTTCGGCTTGTGTTTTCAGGTTGATTGCGTGTAGGTTGAGATTGATGTCGAACGTCGATGGACGCACAATAAGTATCAAAGCACGATACATGCATCAAGTGGCCACACGTAGATGCATACATGCCCGATTTATGACTTTGACGAGGGAATCCGCGTATTGCTTTGGGATCATGGCTGTTATCCGAGCCCACATTGAGAGATTCAATACCAGATCCAAGAGCGTGTTCCAACACATCGTTCATGATGTCGACATCGTCAGACGGAAATTCTCGTAGTATGTTAGAGGTTTGTATTAAGCACAGTATACCATATTGCTGTGAGCGTTCATGTGCATCCTCCTGACATACAATACAAGTACCAGTAGGGAATGCCCACTGACGTTGTCGAGAATGATCGTCAGCATTTGCTGATTCTTGAGACATATCCAAGTCGTCTTGATTTTCCATGTCGACACTGGCAAATTCATCTTCTTCATCCTCATACAGATCTTCATGTTGTTCGAGAAATTGTGATTGAGCTTGGGCAAATTGAGCCAAAATCTTGGCTTGCCGTTCTTTGACCAGCTGCTTCTGCTTATCGCGCTCGCTCATACCAGATGGTGCAGTTCCCTGTGTCTTGTCCTCATTGTCGACCATGCCTCGCCAGGTTTGTATGCTCTCTTTCACTCGTAGCGAACCTCTGATATCCATCTGATTAAGGATCCATTGGCAGCGAGGGTGGATATCCTTAAGATCGGGCGATCGGAGGAATTTGAGTAAAAGTTCCAGAAGCGTCAATCGGTCGTTTTCGATTACAAATTCTACAGTGCAGGCTAAATGTACAAATCCGGCTTGGCCACCATCCTCTGCTACCTGGGTAATGAAATCGTTATTTTCATCCACCAAGGCAAGAAGCAATAGATGTAACGCTTGATCCATTACGGTATCACTCTTTCCAGTGGCGATTCCTTGCTTAGTATTGTACAGGGCAAAAAAAATAATATGTACAAAAACTTTTGAATGTAGAAGGTTACCCATTTTGACAAATGGACCATGTGTAACTTTTGGTAACTTGGGAACATAGAAATATTCTTCAGGAGGCTGGCTTGATTTCTTTCGCAAGATTTCTTCGGCTTCTTCTCTGTTATTACGGGTATAATGCCAGAAGTAGGGGTCCACTTCATCGAAATGTTTGTTGAGCAGCTCATATTGACCAAGATCATTGAGACCTTCAGGTTGCTTGAGGTGGGCTACACTGGATAAAATGGTGTCGAAAGCAAAATTCTCGTGTAGCCGGTCGGGGATGGACTTGACCAGATCGGAATGTGGTAAGGGTCCCAAACACAAGCTGTGAATAATCTCGCGCTGGACTTTTTGCTCGAGATCCATACCTGTCGCATTTGCACGCTCAGCTACGCATACAATAAGAAGATTGAGTAGTTCCTCAACCATAAAAATCAATTGTGATGCATCGTAGTTTTCATGCTGGAGATCACCAGTAAACCATGTTGCCAGTTGGAATCGATCGAGCAAAGTCACAAGTAAGGTGTTAGGGTCAATCACAGTAAACCCAAGTTGAACAAGGAAGACATCGGCATCAAACGTGTTCTCCCGTAAAGAAATCTCCCGGTAATGATGAGCTTGGTTTCGTACACCATAGCCATTGCGAACCCAAACACCAGCGCGGATTTGCGACAGTAGCACAATGGTGCGAATGGGGTATTCCAAAATAGCAAGAAGACGTCGATCATCGATAAAATCGAAGCGACAATAGTCAGTGCCTCGAATCAAATCACAGAAGTTGCCCAGCCAGCCAGCCTCTGCGAGAATACCATCATCCAGTAGACTGATATTCTCCAGTAATCCAGCCAAGAGCCAGTGAAGTGGATGATGGAATGACACTGGCTGTGAAGCTACATCATACTTGATAATCCAATAGGAGCCAGTACCATTTAATTGAAGGTTATGATATTCTTGTTCTTGTATACCCGCGATACGAGGCTGTGGAAGCCGTTCTTTGGCTAATTCAGTACTGTCGGCCAATTCATTTTCGGTGTCTGTGGCTACCCAGTCGCTAAACACCTTGAATATCCTCAAAATAGCACGAACAAGAGCCTTGCATTTCTCAACTCGCATAACTTCATTATCTGAAGCCACCGCAGCGTAGCATTCTGCGAACTGTCGACAGCACTTTGCTATTTGCAACGTAACATTGAAGGCATTCACCCATGTTTCTGACTCGTACTCAATATGGGTATCTGCTTGTCTGACAAGTGCATTCATGTCTTGAAACATGATAATGAGGCCAATGTATTGTCGAAGATAGAGTGGCTCTCGAATGATGCTTTCTTTGACTGATTCTGTATTGATAATATACCGTAAGTCGTGGAAAGCACTGAAGTAGCGACGGCTGCGGAAGGATCTTGCTTCACAGTTGACTCGCATCGACCCTTGCTTGCTATCGGTAATCAGGGGTAGCGACACGCAATCGGTCAAGAAAAAGCTGGAAAGTACGGAACAAATCTGGCCAAGGAAATGACATTCGTTGACGACCAAAGATGCAATAGTGGGTACGGTTAGGAGCTGGACAGAGAAAAGGATAATAGAATTCTCTGGTTCCCGGTCGCGCAGCAAGAAAGCATCCGCAAGCGTGACGTAGTTTCTGGCGAGGCGTATGGCTGATGTGTATTGTTGTATGTGTTAGTCTATACCATTTGATACCAAACTTGTTTTTAAAAAAATTATATTCACTTGCCTATCTGCTTCTTGAAGTCAGGACGAGGTGCCAAAGAAGATATGAACAATTGGCGGAGAGCCAAACGAACTTCTTTCCAAAGCCGCAAGTCAAACAGCATGAGATAATCCAGTCGAAGCTTCCTTTCATACTCTTGTCGCAATTTTGAGCCACTCAAAATTCCATCAGCTACCTTTTTACCCACTGCTGTCGATTTGAATATTTTTGCGGACATCTCATCGTGAACAAGGGCTTCTTCCTCAGCCAGTTCGTTGTATTGGTTCAGTAAGGCGTTATAGTCCCAGTTAAGATCAGCAATGTCATATCGTTTAAGGGCATTACGTTTGTTGTTGGCTCGATAATAGGATGATGATTGTCTCTGTCGACGTGAGAGATCAGCAGATTCACTGTTGGATGAATGATTGTCGTGTTGATGATCAGAATCACTTTCAGGACCAGTAGAAACAGCTGCAGCAAGTCTTCTTCTGTGAGCATTGGTGGGCATCGTCCATAAATCTCTTGGTTGAACGTCCAAACCATCAAAGGCAGCGACACCATCTCCAGCTGTACCAGCTCCTCCAATAGCCGTTTGTGGAACTCTAGAATCCTCAAAGTCCATATCTACGGAGGGATCGTCTTCACTCTCATCATCACTCCCTCTCCCTTGCCGAAGTTGTAAAGAGAGGACGGCCAAGTCCGGTGGAAGAGTGTATTGTGTGCATAATTCATCACAAACTACCTCACGAAGGATCGCATCTCCTTGTTCTACACTATCAAAACATTTCAGTCGTCCACTGACCAAGTCCTTGAGCCAATCTAGTAATATTGTGCAAACTTGCTCTCGAAAGGTGTCATGTGCGGTTCGAATAGTTACAGCCAATCCAATGGTAGACAGGGATGTAGCTATATTGAGAAGTTCGTCGACATTGGTGGACAATTTTATGATATCTCTTCCCTAAAGATTCGTGCATTAGTGTAGAACTGCTAGTACACGCATAAGAATCAGCGATGAATCAACTTACATATTGATTTACATTCTCTGCTGTAGCCTTAGCTTGGGCTTCAGTACAGCCAGCAGCAGATACAAGTTGGTCTATAACTTGTGGGTAAGAGTGGCTTTCGTCGTTCCAAAGGATACAAGCATACATTTCTGACGAGGAAGATGATTTTGCCTCATCAGCAGGTAAGTCGAGATCGTCGATCTCCATCATAGCGACATCTTCATCTTTATCTTCAGCATGAGAAAAAACAGAGGGGCGAATTGCATGCGAAAGAGAGAGCTTGATATTCTGCGAATCGCGAAAGAAGGCATTGGATCGGACGGACTGACTGTCGCTGTTAATGTTGGCGGTTGTTACCTTATCCTCAGGGCTACAAGCAAAAGTTTCAAGAATGAAATCTAGTACAGAACCAATGGTAGAATGCAAAGACCGATTTAGTTCACTTGGTATATCCGCTTTCTCCTGTCTTGGATTGGGTATTGAACTGGACGGTTCACCAGGAGGTCGAGACATAGGAGAATGGTAAGCACAGTCAATCTCGTACTTCCAAGACTCAGGATCACCACAATCACAGCATCCTCCTGATCCTGGACTAACAGAAAACGATACATCATGTCCTTCATGATTTGTTGAGTGGAAGCACCGAGAGCAAAAAACACAAGTGTCATCAAGTCCGCATGTCCTGAATCAAATCAAATAGACTATGAGTACAAGGATCATAGTCTACCCTCAGTTCTTATACTGAACCATGAAGGAATTGGAATGTTTCTAAATACCTGCAGCGATATACGGTTTCGCCTTTTTGAAAGACATGGCCGCATTGCTTCCCTCGCTGTGAAGGCTGATATTCCGCTTCGATCTCTGAAGTTTCGAGTAACGAATTTGTGCCATTGGATAGATCTCGCTTTGATCGATTGAGTGCAAGCAAAGAGGAGCCATTGGTTTCCATAAGTTTTTCAAAAGCCTGGTCATCCGGAACAAAATAAGTACGTTTGAATTCCTCGCTATGGCCCCAGAGCGATTGGTAACATTCAATCAGGACAGCTCTTCGTGTAGCATTATTAAGAACATATTCGAATAAATTGGGGGTATCGTTAAGATAAGTCTTTAGAATAGAGGGAGAAGAATTCTGATTGGCCGAATGTTCTTCCATCTTGGCCCCTCGTTGATCGTCCAAAGCAGCAAGAGACCTTTTGACTGGACCTTTTCAGCTTCTTTGAAGCCGACACTGCGTACTTGGGATTTTTATGAGAAATTTACGGGTCGATTACAATCGCAGGCGTCTCATTCTCGATGATATTTATTTTGCTAATTTTTTTTTTATTTGTTTTAAGATAAAATTCTGTATATACCAGTGTGTTGTAGCAGGACATTGCTTAAAGTAAAATATGCATGGGTTCACGATCGGTGTCGTCTTTCTTTTAGTTCATCTCATCTACACGAGCCACGGGCGAGCATCGATCCGGCGACGAACCGCCTAGTGTGCTGCTAACCTTGTTTGCTATGGACAACCGTTTGGTTCTCTCAGAAAATGGAGAGAGGGCACGAAGAGCCTGGTTGACTCGCTTGGAAAGAGAGGCCACACATCTGTCTGAGCCGACCACCTCCCAAGCAAAGTCTACACCATAAATCATGCGGATGGCGTACACAACTCTTTTTGCGCTGTCATCAGGCATGGAGACATACTCTTCGTTGATGTCCCGTGGGATTATATCAGGATTGTCACCTAGGGCATGCTTCACGATGTGCAGTATTTCTTCCTGTAGCGCTTCGAAGCTGTTAGCTTCTGCCGCCGGTGCTGTACATGATAATATGAAGTCAGTGTCTGTTTGCCAATTTGTTTGTAAATGTCGTGTTTTTATAGTATATCACTTACCAACAATGTCGAATGGACGACTGCGAGCCATTACGTTATGCTTGCCATCATGATGGTATCTGAATTCATAGCTTCCGATTTCCCAAGGCAAACTATCACCTCTAAATGTGACAGTGCCTTCAGTATGTCGAGGAGATTGAATCGGTGAGCCATTATCAAAAGTTTCGGCCAAATGAGGAGTGATCCAGGTCCAAAGTCCTTTGGAGCTGATGGTTGTAACATGCTTGCTCTTGTTAGCAGTAATCTTGTACACACCAATCCAATCCTTGGCACCATGATTGGGAGGAGCGTGCCATATCAAGGAGATAGCTTCGCCAAATGTGAAACTGATGTTGTCAGCTTGATTGGTGTGGAATTCAATAGAATACTTGCTCAGATCATATGCATCCAAGTCGTTGGTTATTTTGGGAATCAACAGCCTAGAGGTAGAGTTTTCAAGTAAAATCTTGGTATCAGCCACCATTTCTTGTAATTTAGGTCTTGCGGCTTCCACCATGTCACCAACTGCACCAGCTGTTTCTTCCACTACGCGTTCAACCTTTTCGACAGTTTCTTTGACAATACGTTCAACACTTTTAGTGGTGCTCAAAGCAGCTTTGATTTCTGATTTGTCCCTTAGCATCTTGGTAACTTCTTGGCGGAATTCGTCTGGGATAGACTTTGGCAAAGCAACGGCAGCCGATCGAAGAGTCTTTGTTAACCCAGCTTCCTTTCGAATCTGGTCTCCATAAAGCTTTCTCATGTGAGGACTAAAATGAAAAGGAAATCATTAGAACAGTTCTATATACACCATTGAAGGCTATGCTTGCAGATAAATTACCCTTCAACGTAATTGAGGAACAAAAAGTTGGAAATCTGAGAGAACAGAGCGAGGATGAAAATAATCCAACTGTTGGCCATCAAGGTCATACCCCAGAAGGCAGCATGTCCCATAATCTTCTCAGGGTTGTTGAGGTAGCGATAAATTCCAGAGTAAACAAGACCGATAGGCTTATCGTCAAAGAAGAAATCACCATAGAACCATCCAAAGTCACCCAACACTTCATAAATTGAGACAGAAGTCCAAATGTGGAAACCAATGAAAACGAAGCCCAGAGTATGACGGAGAAGAGTCATACCATACGTCCAATCTTCAGGCAAGGTATACATTTTCCAACAGGCGATAAAGAAGGTAATGTAAGTCATGCACAGAGACAAGTTGTAGATACTAGTGGAAATTTCAGTGAGATTTGAATCAACAATAAGCTGCATTATTGAACATTATGAATTTACCTTTTCCAATTATTATAAGCATCCTGAACGGTACCGCCCCACTTGAGGAAATGACGAGTGATGAACTTGCCCGTAGACTGACGATGGAGTAAGGCACCCAGGATGTACGAATGGAACACGCGCCATAGCAAAGCTTGAGCAATCGCAAATGTAATGCCCGAATTACCACTCATAGCGAAAAGAGGCATGTAAGCAGCGTAAAACATGACCAAAATGGAGGCGAAATCCGTGGATCTGAAGATATCAAAGTTCTTGAACACAATCAAATCACGACGGAAGTAGTTGTTATAGAAGTCACGGTTGGCAGCTTGATCCAAATGTTGTGGAACATCATCTGTCTCTGTCACGGTGTCGGAGACTGAACTCTCGCTAGGAGAAGACGAACGACGAGTGGGAACAGGTGGGGGGTTGTATGTCTTTTCAATATCTAAAAACATAAGAGTGATAAGTGAATATGCTCTGAAAAAGATATGTACCACGATAGCTAATCCTGATCTACTACTTACGAGGAGTCTCAACGAAAATCAAAAACGCAAATTGAGCAGCATGAGCAAACAAGCTGACATAGAGGACAGTGTAGCTAGCGCACATAAGAGATAAACCATAATAACCAATGTACCCAACCGAGTACATAGGGTGAGGAGCCATTTCAAACACACCATCGAATGTAAGGGATTGCTCTATCAGGAAGAAGAAATCACCCCAATCTAAAAGAATCAAGGTCGTCATTACTACATCATCCCCTTCGACAAAACATTGATATGCATGCACTTACACCAAGCAAAATCCTTGACGACTCTCTGTGCGTCAACCTTGACCCAAATGTTGAAGGCTACCAAGAACAGGCCACCAATCCATCTTAGTGGATCTGACAGAAAGAAGGTCACTTTAGGAGTAGCATTGAACCATGAGAGAGCAAAGCAGAGATAGGATGTGAAATCATTCATAAGAATGATATCAACCAACTGTCTGTAAAGAAGCCATGTGTTGAATTCAATTGGAGCGGTCTGTGGGATATTGGTGAGCTGAAGAAAAGCAGCGGAACCCATTTTTTCAATGGGGTGAGTCGGGTATTCGAATTAGTGTGCTTACTTCAAAATCATAATCTTTCCCCATCTTTCTGGTGAACTGGTGCTTCAACCAAGCATGGATCTTGGGGTTTTTCTTTGCATCAAAGACTTTGTATTTTTTGGCTAGGTTGACAAGTCCACGTTCTTCGCTTTGGTACTTGAGTAGAATACCAAGCCCCAAGTTATAAGACAAACGCCAAAAGATGAAAATAACCATGTAAAAGTATCGACGGAATCCACTAGGCAGTATGAAGAACAGACCAATCTCAAATCCCATGATAGCCAGTGTAAACAGATCAAAAAATGTTTTACTGGATTGGGGATCCAATACAGCTGTCAGCATGTCGTGCGTTACAGGGACTCGGAATACTGAGAAAACATATGCAGTAAAGAAGAGGGTTAACCCTACCATGTCGCTACTCCTATGTTGATTTCTCATGTTCCTTCCTACCTTTACCATCCGGTGTTTTTCCATATGATAGCGTGTCTTCCTTATCCTTCTTCCAGTCTACGGAATCAGTTGTTGGAGTTTGGTCCAATTCATTTGGAGGTGCAGAAGACTCCGCCAAATGCCTTTGTCGTAGTTCGCTCATAGAGTTTAAAGAGAATTGAGCTGTCGAATGAGGTTTGTCCGGAGTTAAGAGTGGTCAGTTGAGGACACGAGGGATCAAAATCTCTTCTGTTGAAGACAACGAAATAACCTTATGAATGTATTGGTAGTCCAGTGGCTTTTCTTTTCAAGTAACGGTACCACACGTGAAATTTGAATGGGGGAACCGCTATCGCAGATTGAATCGCCCCAATGGAAAAAAAACATATGATAACGGGGAAGATTCTGGAAGTAATATATTGACGCAAAATCACACATTGTATATATTAAAGAGAGAGAGCAAAAGAGAAAAGAAAAGAAAAAGTGAAGGAAATTTTGTAAACAGGAAGAATTCCTTTAGGGAAACCATTGTTCTAACTGGAAAGCTTTGGCCCAAACTATGGCGACCATGCTTACTCCCGTGAACACCATGACACCCCACATGACCAACTGGCCAACCTCGCGTCGTCCATGGGCAGCCAAGTCGGAGCCATCACTTGCAAGTACACCAAACTCAGTGGCCAAGGCTGAGCCGAAGACTAACGACCCGAGTATGTAGTGAAGGAGATGTCGTGGATACCCATTCAACTCCATGATGCCAATGAGCAAAAGCGCAACTGGTACTGTGGTAGTAAACGTGTTGAACGCGTCGACAAGGCGAGCTACCTGTTCATATTGTTCGGCTGAAGGCGCTTCAAAGGTATCTAAGTGACCAGGAGAGGATGAAGTTATGGATCAAGAATACCTCCTGTAGAACTGACAATCTTTTTCTCAAAAGTTTTACTTACGGCTATGTCCAACTTTAGATCCGTTAGCTTCTTCTTTGCTTGCTCTATATCGCTCCAGAGTACCATCGCCCACATACACATCGGTCTTGCGTCGCTGGTTCCAGAGTCTGAAGCCTAGGATAAGGAAGTAGATGAGGAAGACACCACCATAAATACCACTTAGTGGGGCATATTGAACATTTTCACCAATCGTGCGACGTTCGAGATTGCTGTCCAAGTAGTTTTGCGTTCGTTCATACAATGACATGCTGGAATCAGGGGTTGCCGAGTTCCTTCGTCGAACAAGAGGAGCTTGCACAAATCCATGTTCATTTCGCAAGGCTCTTGCGTTGAAATCTTCGATATCATGTTGCTCGGCGCCTTTGGCCAAGAAAAGCTCTTCTCTTTCTTCTTCTTGTCTTTCTTCCAACTTGCGCTTTATCGCGTCAGTGTCAATGGATCCCTTGGCGCTTGTCCACCATTCTCCTAACTTTTCTTTGACATCTTGGACTTGCTCGGCAACCTTGGCCTTTGCATCATGGACCGAGTCTTCCTCCTCCAAGTCGTCATACTCGTGATGAAGAAGATTTTTGGCACGCTCAGCGCGTCTTTTAGCGTCTTCTACAGCATGTTGAGCGTGCTGTTTCGCAGCATTGACGTCTCTTTGCAGATTGTTCACACTTCTTTGGCCGTTAGTGTCGCCTTTCAATTCATTGAACTTGTTATTGACAGCGCGTTTGAAGTTTTTAACGTCCTGGCTTCCAATTCGTTCTGCATCCAATAAGGTATCAACTGTTTGATCTTTGGCTTGTTCTACCACGCTCTCAACCCGTTCTTTCAAGGTGGGTTCACGTGGAGCTAACGCTTCAGGCAAATGCTGTGCTGCAAATTGACGAAGACGTGCAAGTGGGCTATCCGCTGTCATGTTAAATTGCAAATTGTTGTTTAGTTACTGCTTAGGGAAAAAGTTACAGATGTCAACGTTCTTTAGAGAAGATTGACAAGTGCTGGTGTTTAACAAGCTTGTAATGGGTTCACTTGTCGCGCTTTACCGACTCACTCGAAAAAAAAAATTACCCGCTGGCTTCCAGCATGAACGTCATCATCACCGCACATCAAACCGCGAGGCTTTCGGATTGAAACTCCGGCGTCTTTCATCTCAGTCAGCTGCAGTTCTAACAAAGCGACGGATTTTATATGAGGCTCCTGTTCTAAGTAGATAATATACAAAACATTACAAACTTCTGTAGAAATATAGTATATGTAGGTACTAATGTAGGTAGTAATGAAATGGAATGGTAATTAAAAAAAACAAAATAATGTCCTTAAAGAATGGTAACTAGAATGAGTGTATATAAAGTTTTACATGCAGAGCAATTTTTTCCACCACTTGGTCTTTTCTTCCTTCTTGACTTCGGACTTCTTGGCTACGTTCTGCTTAACCGGCTGTGTTTCCGTTTTAATAGGTTCCTCTTTAGTCTCAACTGACTCAGTAACATCGGCGCGAGTGCCTTCACTGAAAGTGTCAACCTCAGGCTTCTCCAAATTAGCAGCACCTTGCTTCATTGTCTTCACAACCTTGGCGAAGTTCTCGCCTTGAGTATATACGATGGCGAGTTCCTTTTCGGTAGGTTGGCGGGATCCATCACCGTTAGCGACAGTACCAGAACCATAAGGTGAGCTTCCGATAACCTCAGAGTTGTCGAACATGTTAGCATGTGCGAAGCCTAGAGGAACAAAAGGCATACCGTGATGAGCGAAGTAGGTGATGGTGGAGAGTGCAGTGGTCTCTTGTCCACCGTGTTGAGCAGCAGTAGAGAAAAAGACACCAGTGAACTTGCCGGCCAAGGCACCAGATTGCCAAAGACTACCAGTGGAATCCAAGAAGGTCTTGATTTGAGCGGGCATGGTACCGAAACGAGTGGGGATACCCCAGAGAATACCATCAGCGTTCTTCAAGTCATCGGCAGTGATGATAGGAACATCTTGCTTAGGAGGAGCATACATCTTGGTGAGGACCTCTTCAGGCAAAGTCTCGGCGATTTGGAAGATCTTCACTTCCGCACCTTGGGCCACCAAACCTCGCTGAATCTCTTTAGCGAGTGTGTAGACTGGCAATAGCAATTTACAGTTAACTTTTTGTTGCATGTGACGTTTCTAGAAATTAAAACCTAATACTTACTGTGGCCGTAAGTGGAATAATAGACGATATAGATCACAGGAGAAGACATGATTTCCGAAAGTCTTTTTTCTTTTTGCTAAGACGCATATATAAATGAAAATTTATTCAAACTCCTACGCTGCTGAGGAATCAATTTGTCAAGGTTGACAAAGAAAATCTGTAATCCTGGAAATCGTCGGAAACCTAAACCAAGGTACGTTCAGCATATCTTGTTGGTGGACTAAGGTCATATAACATCGTATAACTCAAGATAAATGAGTTTATATAATGTTTCAAAGTAATATCAAGACAAAATAGAAGAGATCTTCTCGATTCAGTTTGTACGAAACATGTATAGATATCCAAAACCAAAGTTTTAATGTCGTTGCAGAAGATGAGGCTCTTTGAGAGGCTTGTGCTCTTGCATTTGGCATCATTATCATCCAGACTTACCATGCCCGAAATGAGGCTGGACTACCTTGAAGCCACTTATTTTACGAAATATTGAGTAGCGACAACAGTGCTGGCGGCAGGAGCGCTGGTTAAAATTGATTGAGTAAGCTTCCAGTCAGCTACGATCAAAAGAAATGGCTGCCTGACAAATCCTTCACCGACCAAAAAATTGGTGGTCCGATGAATTTTTGAGTATAAAAGGTGCGTTTTCTGAATCCTAGTGGAGCATAATTCATCCTCAACCAATAACAGCAATGGCTCCTTCTCCTGTCATCTACATCGTCTACTACTCCACCTACGGCCATATCTACACCATGGCCAAGGCTGTGCAAAAGGGTTTGGAATCCCAAGGTGTCGACGTCAAGATTTTCCAAATCGCCGAGACTTTGCCTGAAGAAGTCCTCACCAAGATGTATGCTCCTCCTAAGCAAGATGTTCCTATCATCACTGCCGATGACTTGAAGAACGCTGATGGTATTCTCTGGGGTATCCCCACTCGTTTCGGTACCATGCCCGCTCAAATCAAGACCTTCTTGGATTCCACTGGTAGTCTTTGGCAATCTGGTGCCTTGGCCGGCAAGTTCACTGGTATCTTCTTCTCTACTGCTGCCCAACACGGTGGACAAGAGACCACTGCTTTCACCACCATTACCTACTTCGCTCATCACGGTATGGTTTACGTTCCCCTCGGTTTCGCCAACCCCCATATGTTCGACAACTCTGAGGTTATCGGTGGATCTCCCTACGGTGCTGGTACCATTGCCAACGGTGATGGCTCCCGCCAACCTTCCGAGAAGGAATTGAGCATTGCTGAAACCCAAGGTGAAAACTTCGCTAAGACCGTCAAGACTTTCGTTGCTGGCAAGTCCGCTTAATTCATTTATTGTCGAGGATGATAATCGCATAAAGTCACTTTAAATTTGATAACCATTGTAATAACACAACTATTTTAAAACATTAAACCCGTTTTTAAAAAACGCAATGCGTCTCATCGTTGTGCTGGGCATGACCCATATTTCCGTGTTCAGAAAGATACGATCTAAGATCATGGAAGGAGATCAATTTCCACCGTGTCAAAGAGATCAATTTTCAGTACGGTTGATAGATGACCGATCGCTCTTTCGTGTTACAGATGTCCTACACTTGTGTGCCGTTTAATTGGCAGGAAAAAATTTTATGGACTGGCTATCTGAGCTTCCACGACTCCAAACCTTGAATTTTTCTTTTTTAAAAAACAGGTGATTTTTAAAAAATTATAACCTCTTTACATGTTTTCCTCATACAACAATGGCTGAGATATAGAGAACAAATGCTGGGTCATGAAATATATCACTAGTTTTTTCCCATACAATCCTACTTTCTGGTAAAACTAAATATCTACACGAATGCCAACACCATATCCTGCGAAGGCGTATGAAGCTAGCTTTTAAATGCTATCGTTACTGACTATATAACACTTGTTGATCTCCATCTGCGGCATTCAATATATGCTCTCGGCAGAACAGTAGTCGATGTAGCAAGAATGTCCTCGGCTTTACCATGAGAAAGCTATCTCAAAAGTCATATAAAACGGCTCTGGTTCCTGGCTTGTGTTTCTAGCCATGTGCGATAGTGTGAGCACCTTTATGATCGAGTTATATTTTTCTTATATCTCTCAGCTGTGGCTTTCCGCACAGGGAAATCCCCTACGGCTGATAAATGGATAAAACAAGGTAAACTTGGGTAAAGTGCATTCGTCTTTTCCGAAGATATTAAAATATTAAATAGAACATTCGATCTCATTATACGGTACTTTCTGTGTACCAAACAAACATTGTTTGCCTAATGTGAAAAGATGCAGCAATGAAGGAAGTGTCCGTGCTGCTGGGCCTCAAAAACAAAGGTAGGGTATGCAAAGATGGTATTTTGGGTGTGGACTTTTTCTTTTTCTTTTTTTTGTTCGTGTATATATACTAAAGAATTAGCAAGGCTTATTACTGGTTCGAGCCATTTTAAGTAGCCATTGTGTTTGATTGAACAACGTTAATTATAGCTTGTCCAGCGCTACTTTCAGCGCAGAGATTCGTCATCATCTTCGTCGAAGTCTCGGGAATGTCGATACTCCGGATAATCATCTTCGCTTATGGGCTTTCTTACAGTCCGTCTGGAATTTTCAGCCCTGCTGCTTCTACCATCTACCAGAGTCAAATCGTCAGTCGAAAAGTTGGCTGATCCTGGCCTTGAGGAGGAAGGGCGTGATCTAGGACGATCAGAAACGGGAGATGTAGCCATACTTGCAGCGTAGCCAAGTTCCATATCAACATCTTTTTCATCCAGCTCAATGACTTGACCGTCCGCTCCAATCTTGAAGCCGAAAAAAGGTTTTTTGTTGTCGGTGATGAATCCACTATCTCGCCGAGATGGTGGGTCGTTAAAAGAGTTAAGCGAACGGGATGAAAGATTCTTCATACTGTAGGTTTTTTCTTTTTTGGATGGCTTTTCGTTGTTCAGCACAATAATATTACCCCGACCTGGAGCACCACCCATAGATGGAACCTGAATTATGCCAGGACCACCTGGTCCCATCGGACCTCCTGGTCCCATAGGTGGTCCCATAGGTCCAGGTCCAACTGGGCCCTGCGGAGGAGGAGGTGGTGCTTGTGGAGGAGCAAATTCAGGCATTCCTTGAGGTGATGGTCCCTGTTGAGCGACAACAGCAGCATTCTCCATAGCCATGACTCTCTGCCTCATCAGCAGTTGCTTGTGACTATAAGACCATATGCACGCAGCCCAGTAAACCTGTAAAACCAAACAAAGTTCCAAGTTAGATACAGCAAATAAAGCGAGTGCCATTTTAGAAGAGAAACTTGCATAAAGAACAAATATAACGATGACACTCAAAATGCTAAATTTCAATTCATCTTGCCACATTTTGTCACAATTATAAAAGTCGGAGCTAGAGGTGAAGTTCAAGTTGACTGAGGTTCCATTGGGAAAAGCGGCCTGAACTGATCTTCCCATCCGGTTAGCTGCATCATTTACGCAAGCAACATTGTAGCCGGAGCGGTCAATGATGAACAGGATGACGTTCACAATCATATCAACCAACACGATGAAGATGCAACACCATACGGCGTGTGACAGGTTACGGATAGACCATGCATGTTTCTAAGTGGTATGGCTATTAGTCAACATTGGACATGGAAAGCATCGTTCCAGGGTTACTTACGAGAAAAAAGACGACTACGCCAGCAAGTGCAACTAGGGCAAATATAAGATTGAGAGCTCCAAAGATCATCAATGGAGTGCTATCAAAATATGAAAAAAATGCTAGAAAGAGCAAAGAACAAGTCAGCATTATGATGACAATTGCTACGGGAGATAGGATTGATGTTACTTACGACTCTCGCTCATGAAAGCTAGAATAGCAAAGTAAAAGCTTAGTCCCTGTATAAAAATGATATATTAGCATCAATTATATTATGAACAAGTGCTAAAATAACCTACTTACCGCCCACACTATACATGCTACTGCTCCACCAGCTCTGAGATGGATACATCCGCAGCATTTTGCTAATGCAGGGTACTTCGGTGTTATGAAACGGTGGTCGACGGTATCGAACTCTGCAAAGTTGAAATTCATGCTCTTCTAGAATAAATATCTGCTAATATGTTTGCAGTAATCTCCAGGGTATATAGACTTCTCGCTGATAACCAAGGGAGTGGACAAGGTTATTTCCAGTTTGTTCGGCGATGAGGGGTATAACTTGCTCTTTGAAAGCGACTTTGTGGGCCTACAGGGAGCAAATGAGCTTTATGCAATCACAGGTAGCAAAAATATGCTGAAGGGGATAGAGAGAGGAACAACAGTAAAAAGGAATGGGATTACGCCCTATAGATCACATCGTCTTTAACCGAAATTGGCGACAACAAAAACATTCTTTATTCAGGCATGAAGATTTGATGGGGCGTGGTTCCACTCTGGATATCACCCTCGGTCATTGCCCAATAGCGGCACCGATTATGGCCTCTACCACTCTGTTTAGGTCTCTTACAATAGCTTGATTTGGATGGTTGTTATTGTCCTAGATCCATTTATAGCGGTGGCCTCATCCGCTTCCACATTTTACACTCCGACTTTCGCCGGATTTGCCGGCTGATGGCCATCGAACCTTCCAACTTCACAATCTTGTGCTATAGACTGAGGCATTTTCATATCGGTAGCACTTTGTCAAACTTCTTTTATGTATTTTTCTGGAAGGGAATAGTTACGGTATATTATAAAGCGTTTTGCTGTCCACGTCCCGCAATGGTGCTGAACTGTTCTGTCAGCCAACTCCTAAAAAAAAATTTGTGGCATTTGGGTAAGGCTGGAAGTCTTCCCACTTGTGGGACTGCGGAAGAAGAGCACAGTTGTTTGTTAAGATCCAATCTTGAGGTTGAACACAATAGCCGTTTTGTAATAACGTTTTTCATGTAGTGCAAGTCAAAAATTTGCCTACCTGGAATATGTGGATACTGTCGAAATGAGCGTTTCCTTTCTCCGAAGAATAGAAGATACTCTGTAACTACTTGAAGATTTTTACGTAACTGAACTTGACTTCCTGATAAGTAAGTAAGTTTTGTAACTAGCCATTGCGTAAATTTTTCAACAGCCACGTTGCGGTATACACTCAAGGTCAGAAATCAGCGCTAGTTGTGAATGTTATTTCTGAATGCACTACTTTGACAAATTGCCTAAATCATTACGAAGGAGAAGTGGCTCTCCCGTGCAAAAATTTCACACAGGTACAGGGAACGCATTTAGATTTACCGCATACTAACGTTAACAAATACACGCAAATTTAACATACCTATGTTCAAAGCATAGCGTCCAAGAAGTGATTGTTTTGCTGTTCAAAATACCATTTTCCTAAACCTCTCCTTAGTTAAGTATGTTAAATCAATCATACTATAAGTGGACCGCAGGTAGAGTCATGACATCTCATTCAAAGTGGTTGGACGACAACAGCCAGCTAACAAGCATAGGAAGACGTACACGTGATTTTGGAGAAAGAGACAACACTCTCGTGGTTCAAATTAATTACATTCTGTAATATCGTGCTTCGAAGGCTCCGCGATCTACGGATTGTAAAGGCATATCAAACGTAGAAGTTGTAGCATGATCGTGATCGATATTCTCTTCTGCTCAAGTGCTTTGTTAGCCCTCTAATACATTTACCCGCTTTCTTTCATATACATATATGGAATAGAGAACATCGCAAAGAAGAACAGTAGCTGTTTACCGCCTTCTCAGGAGAACAATGTCCACAGCTACTCCCTATCGCTGGAATTTTAAAGCAGAACATCCAGCACGAGCATTGCGTATGAATTTAAGTTAATAGAATCAAGAAACGTAAATGTTGCAAGCGTGTTATGAGCAATGACCAACTTTTTGAAATTACTCTGATAGCTTACTTTTGCCTTTCAGAGAGAACGGTGTAACCAGTCCCACAAGAGGCGGTAATTCATAAACCAGGTTCATACTAACAGGTTCTATATTTGGAGAAATGCTGATTTGTTGGCCAATGGGGTGGCGATAGGAGACGATCTGGTGCAGCTCTACGTCTGTACAACACAGTCCATGTATTTCATTTAACGATGGCCATTCCCACCGGAGATGTAAAACACTGCATCCTGCGATTATAAAGAATATACCACATTCGAGATATCTGTTAGGGAGCAGTAGATGAAGATAGATGCATTTGTCAGGCGTCTTGCTCGGTGGCCAAGACGAAATAAAGGCTGCCGCATCCTCCGGTAAAATGTAAGCGTGAAAATGCGCATACAGAGCAATGCATTTGTGATACTGCTGAAACGGGAAACATTAAGCAGAATAAGAAAATGCATGCATCCACCAGTTCTAATGATCTTGGGAATAGGTTGAAATAGGCTGAAAATTACCAAGTTCAAGACGATTAGCCAATTTGGAAGAATGATAACGTATGCCACTGTAGTATGAGAATTAAAGGCTAGAAGATCATCAGGAACTGAAATCTGCACGATCTTTCAAAAATGTATGACCTTAATGCTAGTGGCGAGCCTTTTGGTTTCTTATGCGATGACCATTAGCATGACACCATACATTATACTGATGACTTATCATTCTCCTACATTGTTTGATAGACTTTGTGTGGATATTACACAGTCAGCAAACTTTTATCAGATTGCATATGCTTGTCATGGTGAGGCTCCTTGTAACTTACTAAAACTGCACCATAATTACCACAAAAGGGAAACTTCAGCACATTCATATTAGCGAGTAGGACGAGAATGATACAATCTGAAGCAATGTCGATATCAGATCGGAGGTGTCGAAGGCATCAGCTGCAAATGAAAATTACTCTAACATGTTGGATTAACCAATTGCAGTAACTTTGTCATGAAATTGGATATTAACCGCAGGCAGGTTAGACGACTGCTGGGAAATTTGGCTTCTGATCTTCTCAAATCCTGTTTTAATTTGTGTACCGTAATTCGATGCATAAAATATATAAAAGTGCCCGCCCTCTCTGCATATCTTTAGCTTTTCATTCTCTTTCGTCATGAAGATCACCGCTGCCTTCCTCGGCCTTGCTGCCGCCATTGCTTCAGTTCAAGCTGCTCCTGCTACCAGTGGCTTAGCCGCTGCCCCCCTTGTTCAGCCCAAGACCTACACTCTACCTGTCAAGGTCAATCCTCAGTTCAGTCGCAGTGCAAAGGCTTCGGTCTGGAAGACAGCCAACAAGTACCAAAAGTATGTCCAGTCGAAGAAAACCTCTGTCCTCGCTAGCACTGGAAGTGTTAATATGACAGATGTCCAGAACGATGTTGAAGTAAGTACATTTAATTACAGACGGAGTGATCGCTGCTCCCTAACCTGACCATCCTATGACAATTAGTACTACGGCATCGTAAAGGTTGGCACCCCTCCCCAATCATTCAAGTTAGATTTCGATACTGGTTCTTCGGATCTATGGTTTGGTATGTTAGACGGTTTCTATTTGATTGAGAATGATTCCGAAATGTACATTGATTAAACCAACCCTTTTGTAGCATCGACTTTGTGCTCATCTACCTGTTCAGGAAAGACAAAATACGACTCCTCCAAGTCCTCCACATATAAGAAAGATGGCCGCTCATGGTCTATTACTTATGGTGATGGCTCCACATCATCTGGTATTCTTGCTACCGACACTGTCAACCTTGGTGGATTCTCTATCAAGAGCCAAACCATTGAACTCGCAAAGAAAATATCCAGTTCTTTCTCAAGCGATCCTATCGATGGCCTCCTTGGTCTTGCATTCGACTCCATCACCACAGTTAGTGGTGTAAAGACCCCTGTGGATAACCTCATTTCCCAGAAGTTGATCAGTCAGCCCCAATTTGGTGTCTTCTTGGGCAAGGAATCCAATGGCGGTGGCGGTGAATATGTCTTTGGTGGTTATGACAGCACCAAGTTTAAAGGAAAGCTTACCACTGTCCCCGTTGATAATTCCCAAGGATTTTGGGGAATCACAGTGTCATCCACCACTATCAACAGCAAGTCAGCCTCCAGCTCTTTCTCCGCCATTATCGACACCGGAACTACTCTCCTACTCTTCACCAACTCAGTTGCTGCCAAGGTTGCTGCTGCCTATGGAGCGACCGATAACGGAGATGGAACTTATGCTATCTCCTGCGATGCCTCCAGCCTTTCACCGTTGTCATTCAAAATCAATGGTGCTACCTTTTCTATTCCTGCAGAAGATCTTATTTTTGAAAATGACGGCGGCAGCTGCATCGCTGGTTTTGGTTATGCCAGTTTGCCCTTCGCTATTTTGGGAGATGTCTTCATTAAGAACAACTATGTTGTCTTCCAGCAAACTTCTTCACCATCCGTTCAAATAGCTTCCATTGAATAATTTTGATCTGGAATCCGCTGCAAGTCGGCAGATATAATCATAATGGCAATGGTCTGACTTATTTAACAAATAAAGTACATGATAATATTAGCTCTACAACTATCCTATCTGCTTGCATGCACATCAGTGTTCGTGACATAGAACCGGCTCTAGTTACATATCAGACTGGCGAAGTGATGGATCCCATGTGACACGTGGGCTGGTCTGGGTTTGGCGATCTAAGAAGTCTTCTCTTCATTCTCAAGAATAACAGGCGGTATCGCCTAGGTAAGGAAGATATATTTAGTGAGCATGGAAGAGATATGGATGATTGGAATCTTCAAGCATTGCATACCAGATCAGGTTGAAGAACCTAGGAATCAGTACATGTGGAGATTAGGTCACGGACTAAACAAATGATACTTCAAACGCTGAAGACGGTCAAAAATACCTTGTGCACAACGGTACTTCCGACTACCATTCCGCCACAAAGAACTAAAAATGTTCGTAGCTTTGAAATTTGGGCCATGTTTGGGGTCACAATGTTTTTCAAGTGTACGCTCGCTGGACTGCATAAAATTTTCCCTAATTTTATTTTTTTTTTATTTTTGGACGAGCATAATAAAAAGTATATGTGGACACGGACATGGACATAGGTTGTAAGCATGAGAAGCTTAGTCTCAAAGCAAATTCAATTCGCTTCTTTCGCAGACTATATCTTAGCTCCTGTGGCCTTATGACAAAGTACATGCAATCCCGTATGTCATTCGTTGATATGAACTATAAAGGAATTCTTCAATATGAGTAGTGCAAAGATTTTCCTAGCCCCAGGAAAATGAAACCAAGGCTACAATTCAATACTAGGGATTCTATCTAATAGAGTACTTTTTATTTCTGTATGATACAAGTAGACATCTTTGAAAGATTATACAAAAGCAGGTGCGTTGGTAACCATCCTGTGTAAAACAATATGCATCAGCTCTTCTCTGCGACAATGATAGACACCTGTTAAACTTGAAAAGTTTGTAGTACCAACTCTGCCTGGTATGAAACGCATTTAAGCTTTGTCTTCACGCTGCTGAAGCTTCTCCAACCGCTCCTGTCGCAACGCCTCCCTCTCTTGGATGAGGTTAATTCGTCTTCTATTTATCAATTCCAATAGCCCTTTTCCCTCCGGTCTCGGATTATCTCTTTCGTACATAAAGTATGCACCTGCACCAACTGCTATAGAGAAAAGTATGTCTCCTTTCCTAAAAGTGAAATTGGTCAGTTGCGATGGCTGTATACATATACTTGGCATATGAGAATGCAACATCGAGAGCCATCACTTATGAAACTCTGAGTTTGGACGATTTCTTAACGTCAAACGTCAACTTACTTCGAGATAATGTATTGATACTTGACCATTGCTACTGCTTTTGTAATTGGTGGCAAACGGCAATTGTCGCTTTCAGTCCGTAACTTACGCGGAGCTCGAAGAGGTGTTTTTGATGCTGTGACTGGTGTAAAGAAACATTTTTTTTTTCAAAAATGGCGATATATGGAAAGCCTGCAGTCCATGCATTTAGTATTACAGCAACAGCTACTTCAAATAAAAGTCTTAGCTGAATAAGAACGCAACATTTTGCATATGTTTGTATGTTATTGTTCGTACGGTTTCAAGCAGCTTCACCGGCCGTGTGGCCATGTCTAGATCAGTTATTACACTATGGCGAGCCATATCTACAAGATCGTCCATACCAGATGAACATATATGAACATCGATCGATCCTGGTAGCAATACAGCACCGGCGCAGTCTTCAATTTTAGCGCCAATTTCATCGATTCCTATAAGACCACCTTCGATGACAACAGTCATAGGTGCCGTCAATTTTAGCTGTCGAAAACTCGAATATTAGTCAGTGCACAGCTTGAGCGCGGATCGAAACAAAGATTTGCAATGTGGTACGCAATTATTTACTCTAGACATTTTTATAAACGGCTTAATTTTATCCAGGCGGATAAATTACGTGCGCTCATGCGCGATTCTAACTTCGACTGTATGAATTATAACTACCACGATGTGAGCCTCTAGTGATGCTTTGTCTTCGTTTCCGATATAGATCTAAAATTCGTATGTGGCTAATATATGAAGGTCGAGATGTGTCGACGAACAACAGTACAACAGACCAAAATTTACCGGAGATCAACCTCTCCGAGGTGCTTGAGTTCTACTATGTGAAATTGTCAAAAACTTGTGAAAGTAGCATTTGCCAGCGCGGTTAAATTGATGTATCGACCTTTTTCAAGCTGGAAATTATGGCGGCTAAATACAAGGAATGAGTGTGTTTTGAACAAAACTTCTCGATGAAGGACATTTCAAAACGATAATGACCGTAAAAAGCTGGCATTCCCATCCTTTACGGTACTGATAGCAACGATGAACTGTTGGCATGGACAATCTTGATGTATTGAAGTCATCTTATATGTCTGGCAGCATTTTTTGATTTGACAATCTGGCAAAAGAGCTGATTTACTGCTTATGACTGGCGAACCTCTTCAAGATATTAAGGTGGCACGTTCGATTAAGCTAATTTTTTAAGCTGATTTTATGTGCTGGTACTGGGTTGCTCGTCTTGTAAGTTTAAAATTTAATACATAAAGAGAGAGACCTGTCACAACTACTATGAAGTCATAGTCGATGGGCCGATGTCTATCACCTTCTACCAGAGAATTCGGCTACAAAGCACGCATGTTTCTACTTGCAAGTGGTGACCTATCAGCATACAATATTGTTTACTGTCTACACTGCCGATGAGCCAATGCTCCTGTCGAAAAACACGCATGTTGCTTCATTGCTTCGATTGGGAGTGGAAAAAGCTGGTTTAGCCGCTGACCTGAGACAAATAGTTTCGGCGTTGGATAAGCTGATTTAACCGTTGATCTGAACAAATATTTTCGGCTATTATGCTATATAAAGTGTCAATCTTTTCAAAAACTGCCATATCCTATAGCTCCGCACTCAAAATTAGTACAACAATGCTGCCACTGATCACCTTGGAAGAACACTTCTTATCTGAAATAGTTGCAAACTCACTAGCCGCGGAAAAATTGGGAATGGAACACTTTCCACCTGCCTTGAAATCAAAGTTGATGTCCTTGAGCGATGAACGTATCGAAGACATGAAAGATGGCAATATTTCGTTACAAATCGTTTCACATAATCCTGCTATATGCTACGAAAGTGATATCTGCCGGAAAGCCAATGATGAGATATTTCAAGGTTGCCAAAATCACAAATCATCATTTGCCGGATTTGCCGTGTTACCTATGGCTGATCCAGTAGCAGCTGCTGATGAACTCACACGCTGCATCAAGGAATTAGGTTTTGTTGGCGCATTAATCACTAATCATGCCAACGGTCGCTTTTACGATGGCGAATCATACTACCCCTTTTGGGAGCGAGTCCAAGAACTTGATGTGCCAATTTATTTGCATCCAACGAACGCCTCAAGTGACATGATGCCTCTATACCGTGGAGGTTATTCTGACGAAGTAGCGGGCATTCTTTCAACATTCGGGTGGGGCTGGCACGCAGATACTGGACTGCACATTATGAAGCTATTCTGCAGCGGCACCTTTGATCGATTCCCTAACCTAAAAGTGGTTATTGGCCATAATGGAGAAATGCTTCCATGCATGCTTCAAAGGCAAAGCGACTTTTTCGATGTGATGGTGCCCATGAAGCGTAACCTTACCCAGGTGTGGAACCATAACATCTGGATTACTACTAGCGGCATGTTCACCATACCTCCATTTTTGACTCTTATGCATACCACCAAGATCGAACGCATAATGTACAGTGTTGATTATCCATTTTGTAATAACAAGGATGGTCTCAAGTTTATGGAAGAACTACAAAAGAGCGGATTGCTGACAGAAGAGCAGTTCGAACAAGTTGCTTACCGCAATGCTGAAAAGCTGTTCAATATTAAGCTTGGACAATAAACTTATATATCTTGTTATAATCGAATATCAGAAAAATGATACGTTATAACATACCTGCTCTTTAAATTGCCACTGTGTCATAATTTTGTGGAATAGCTGCTTTTTCAGTTTTAAGTTTCTGTTTTCACAAAAGGTATCCTTTTTGCCATGCCCAAATCTTTCCCTAAGTTATGCAAACCAAAATCAAATCTTGATCAGCCAATCGTGAATGGAAATTACGACTATATTGCGAGCAACGATCAAAAGTCGTATAGCATGCAACTCGTTTTCACCCGAATGTGTGGTTGTTAAGAATAGTCATATTGACAATCCATACACACAATGCTTCGATTCACCATCAATCGCCTTGAAAAATGGTATCACTATAGCTTTTGGCTGATCTTGTTTGTGAAGAATGGTATCATAAAAAAAATCCTCATCGTAAATAAAAAATAATGTAAAGACCTCCTTATTAAGAAAGAAATCGTATCATTCTAAAGTTGCCCTTTTATTTTGCAAAGAAAAAACTATTTTAATGAATTTACTATGGAAACCGTAAAAGGCCACATTCTCTATATCATGGCGGTATAAATCAAAACGATTTTTTTTAACAATGACATGTTTTGACACACTGAAAGAAGGAGTCCTGGTTTATTTCGAAGCATCAATGCTTGGAGTTATCCTAATAAATTCCGTCAATGGCAAAAAATATGTTACTGAAGCTCTTATATTAGAGTACATTTGTGTTTCGTTATTCGTCACGCTTGACGATTTTCCAAAATTTGGGAATTTCCCATTTTTGACAAGCCATGAATTTATTTTTTGGATACACTTCTAAACTACGATTGGTGGTTAAGGCAAGTAGCCCTCAAAGCAAGGCGGAAAACTCTCCAAAAAAAGTAAATAATGTTATCAGAAAAGGCTTTTTGTATGTTGAATTTGCCGCCATGCAAATGTGCATGACTTCAGCATTTATTGTACATTGGTCCTAAATTGCCCAAAGAAAGAAAATAAAAGCAAGGGTGTTTATAGTTGCAAATGCCTGTATTAGAAAGGCAGAGTGGTTGACAATCAGATGGGGGGTATGCAAATCGTTTACAGAGTGATGATCTTTGAGATAATCAAAGGCAGTGATGTATGGAAGCGACGGGGCCAGCCCAGAATATAAAATGTGCCACCAGGACAGTCCGTCTGGACAGTATTGGCAACAGCGGAAACCAGCTGCCGTAAAGATGCCAAGCGAAAGCTATTGGGTTATATGCAAAATGGTGAATGCGAAAAATACAGCTATGCAAAAAGTATGGGGAAATTATTGGGAGATACCCTATCTTGGTTGGAAAGTTAACGAAACGCCAGCGTGCTTCCAGTCATTGATTCGCTGTCGTAACTTTCTCTTCAGATTGAACTGTCGATGTAAGATAATTCGCATATCCTTTCGGTGCGTCAGCTTTGACTCCAAAAACTGCTGTAATTGTTCCAATTCGTGATCTGTTGTTTCTCCATAATAAGCTTCAATGGGTATGAGATTGCTCAAATTTAAGGTGGCGGCTAACGATTGGTATATATTAGACAATAGAGAAATGTGTTGATGTGATTTCATAAGTTTAGGCTTACCATGTGGAGCATTGTCTACCATAAACGTCCGACTTAGGTCACGACCCAAGGCACACAAATCTTTCACATACATGCATTCGCCATTCGAACCTACTCGTGTTTGTATGCAAGCACTTCGCCCAAGTACGTGGCTATAATTTGAAAGGTGAGCAAACCAGTAGACATAAGGGGTGGCATAATCAAGTATAAAAAACTTACGAGATGTACTGTCGATCAGCGTCCAAAATGTTCATAACAGTTGCTGCATAATCATCGTCTCCAGCCGTCCAAACTACGACTTCAAAAATTTCGGAGGCCCATTTCAAAAACTTCTTCACTCCTGGCCGGAGCGTTCCAGCTGTGATGATCTGATTAGTGTTTTCACTAGCGTAAATGATGTAGTCTGGTTCGCTATGGCCGGCATTGACATCCCGATAAGTATGTAACAATGTTTCGTCCAAATCCAAAACTTGAAATATGAAAACCAGATTAAAAATGAGCTGCGGTGCGGCAAGACAAATCTAGTGCACTGATCACCTACCTAATGTCGGTTTGTCATCGGCCTTCTTGGGTAAATGAGGCTTCATTCCCTTCAACCTTGCTCTTATTGACGGCCACCTTGCGTTTAATGAATCGAGAGTTGAGCACTCGTAGCTGAAATGATTGGTTAGGACCTCTGAACTTGTCTGAAATGTGATGAAAAGAAATCAGACACTTACTCGTCAAGTTGTTCCACTAACGATTCAACTTTGATGGTTGTTTCTAGAGAACCTTCCCTTAAAGGTGTTTCTTCTGAATAGAAAGACGCTGTGCTCGCAAATTCGCTGCAACTTAGAGTATCATCGAAGTTTTCTGACTTTAATGCTGGAGAGTTCGTGTTGTCATGTTTTTCCATTGGTAAGTCAAATGACTTTACTCCTTGAAATTGTGCTTGAAATCTGGTTTGAACCATTTTTCTGAGTGGCTACCGTAAGTTTCGGACAAAAGTGTGAGGATGAATGTCGTCAATGGGGGTAAATTAGGTGGTATAAGCTGATGTCCCTTTGGTAATGCGGACTGCACCTGTTTGTGTGCGGAGAGAGAAAGGTAGCAATGTCCAGTTTCCAGGTCGGACATTCAATTGGTGCGGAGGTCACATTTTGTTTGGAACGCTGTCCAATCAAACTCGAGAATTAAAAGCACGTCACATTAACACCGCAAAAAATTTTTGTGCGGAAGGCGATTTGAAAACTATAAAAGAAGTGAGAATTTGCGGTTCAGTTAAAAATTATCGACTGTACTTTATAGGATCATATATACAGTACACAACTAGTCTACTTTTTCTAAAGAAGACACACAATGCAAGCTAGTAGATGATACGTAGCAGATCTTCCTTGGAGGGAAGTGTGATGGTTTAGCTTTTGCTCTTTTGGGCTTCATAGTTATTCCATCAGTTGATGATCTTGCCTGGTCATATTCCAAGACCATGGCGCGGAAGATTCTGCCGTCTGATAGCTTTCATACTCTCTTTTTAAACAAAAAATGAATATAAAAAAAGTTTTCCATTGTGAAAAGAAACAGCAGCATACTCTGTATGTCTGTATATTCTACTGTTCACCAAAAAAAAATTGATTGAACAGACAGAAAAAATTTTCTAGCTGACCTCTTGCAGCAAAAAGTAGTAACCGTATCGACAGTCCCACTACCACACAGTAGCTGTGGTGAAGTGACTTCTTACAGGTCGCTTTCGTTATCTACGCTAGCATTGTGAATGGCCGGAAGCTTGAAGAAATCAAACGATTGGAGTATCTTACATCATTGCCAAAGGAATGTTGTCGTACTTGCTTTAGGATGTCTCTTTGACTGCTTACTCAAATCAATTTCATCTGAACTAGGGCATACGAAATCTCGGATTTTTTTTTCCAAAGAAAATTTTTTTTGTTACAGTTTCCTGTACCTGTTGCAACGGCATTCCTTTTCATCATCAATCACAGTTATTGTTGTTAATATAATCCTTTCCTGGCTCATACAGATTTCATATGGGATACGACTTGTCATTCTTGGCCCTTTATAAAGGCTTGATGCAATAAAGTGTTGAGTGCTGTTAGATCACGGCCGTCAGTTATGTCAACCGAAACAATGGTTGTCGCTTCAGGAACCGAATTCTGTAAATTGTTTGTTATGTACTCAAAGTGATCTGAAAGCTGTTTAGCGGATGGCTACTGTTTCATCGTTGTAATCAGGGAGTATTGATATCATGTCTTTCTATCGTCATCATAATTTTGACAATATCCTACTCTGTGAATGGCTGACATGTGTGTTTTTCTAGGTGTTTCCAAATATGGAAACAGGTATTTACTGAGAGGAGATTCAAGAAGTGCAGGTTGTACTGCTTACTTGGACACAGTTTCTCCTTTGACGCGTCCAGTGCACATCCCATGGAAAAGTTTCCGGTGAATTCTGGAAACATTCCACCACCACCATCACATTCAACCAATGTGCCATTGAAACATGGCCCACTTGCCAATTTACAGATAAACCGTGCTTCAAACGTGCCAGTCAATAATGGCAATCGTCGTAGACGGAAAGAACCTAATGACACCCCTCCTATGGTAAGATGACAGGAAACAACTGATATCGTAACTCCAGAAATTCTATATATACGTATCGCTGACATGACACGTCTTCAGCTCAAGTTAGAGCGCATTATCGGCCTCACCTCCAACACCAGTAACATGATAGCATCAGACCCAACGTCGGATCAAATTGCATATGCTGCCGGCGCTGTGATCATCCTCTACAACTACCGTAAAAACAAGCAGGTTTCATTTCTATACCCCCCACCTTCCGTCACCAACGCTGTAGCTATGGGCACACTGCAGCCTACCACTAGCATGATGCCAACCTTGCCAGCTTGGTCCACGACAGCTCATCCATCAGCAGCCGAATGGGCCTCCCCTAACATGTTGGGCAACGAGATGAAATATCCTGTGCAGGACACGGATGAAAATAATGGAAAGAAGCGAACTTCGGCAGGGTCACGCCCGAAAACAATTGGTTGCCTCGCATTTTCTACTGATGGCAATTACCTGGCAGCTGGCGAGGTTAGTTCCTTAACAAGCCACTAATGTTGATTAGGAAATGCGACCTAGAAATCATCTTAACCGTAGTGATGTATACTTACGACCTTCATGTTATACAGGTTGGCCACCAGCCAAGAATATTTGTGTGGAATGTTAAGCAGGAAACCCTTGTATGCGTGTTGAAGGGTCACAAATTTGGCATCGTATCGGTTGCGTTTTCTTCTGACATGCGGCATTTAGCATCTGTTGGCTTTCAGCACGATGGATATTTGAATGTTTGGAATTGGCGAAAAGGTACGAAAGTAGCGTCAAACAGGGTCACTAGCCGCGTGCATGCAATGGCATTTGCAAAAGATGGCACTCACTTCATCACTGCGGGCTTGCGACATATAAAGTTTTGGAACTTGAGCTCAGCGGGAAAGACCGCGCTACAGGTATTCACGCTGACATATGGTTTGCTATGATTATCAGTAACCCTGTAAGCTAACCGTATGTTATCTAGAATAATTTTCCACCTGGTGAAACTCAAGTGTTGGATGGGCGCTCAGGCTTGTTGGGATCACTGAGGAACAACAATTTTGTGGATGCTGCATATGATCCTGAAAATCCTGGTACAGCATATCTTTTATCTGAAACCGGGCTGCTCTGTATGTTCAAAGAAGAACGGATTCTGGATAAATGGGTGGATTTACAGGTACCATTTGTCATTGATGGAAGTTCATTTTTCACTACGTATACTGATAACCCCTCAGGTCAAAACTGCTTTTTCCATCGACATCAGCAATAGGTATATCGTGTGTGCTTGTGATAACGGTATTGTAAGGTAAGGGAATAATGAACATACATTCAGATGGTTTGGCCTTGGGTGTTGACAATTAGGATAGGTTGTTTGAACCTGGCACTCTACGGTATTGTGGTATGCTTCCGAGGCCACATCCTCTAGGGGTGGACTTGTCAAGCTTTGTGACCGTTCAGCAACTGGAATCCATCAGAGACACAGCCGTATATCCGGACACTCTAGCCATTAAATTCGATGCGTCTTCCAATAAGGTCACCTGTATATACTCTGATAGAAGTCTAATTATTTGGGATGTGAAGCATCTGCAAAGGATAGCGATGTATCGGAGCTTTATCTCTCACAGTGAATGTGTATGGGGATCAGAGGTGAGAAACTTGTTCCGCGCAACTTTGATGAGAACTACATTTCCGACTAAGCCAACGATACTACATAGCGATTTCCAAAGCCATCGAATGTCACTGACCGCGCTGCATACCAACCGTTTACCAATGCAACCTTGCCACCCTATACCTTTGCCACGCATTCAGCTGATGGGACTGTTCGCTTTTGGAACATTGATAGCGGCCTGCCGACAAGTGATCTTACCATGTCTCCAGGCTCAACCTCTCCAACTTCTCCTTCAGCATCCTATCCCTCACTCGTCAGTCCTCCACTGTCTCTTGTAGCTTCAGCATCAATGAAAAGTACATTTCCATCGCCAAATGAGGATCTTCAGATATCTATGCGCAGAAATATTTTTTCCAAAGAGCTAGTCAAAATGCTTTACCTGGATCCGGAAGCTGCAGAGTTCTCCAAAAACAACAAGGATATAGGTATAAAAAAAAGTGTGCAAGTTGAACAGGTTTTCGAGCACATACTAACTAACCGACTGCAGAAACGACAGAACTGCCTGATCATGGCATTAGAGCGCTAAAAATTAGTTCCGATGGAAGTTTGCTAGCAACTGGTGATCGAAAAGGAAACTTGCGTGTTCACCGGATTCACGGCTGGCAAGAAGTTACTTACTTGGAAGCTCATGACTCTGAGATATTGACGATAGATTTTAGTACACCAGCATCTAATGGTAGGTTGAAAAAACTAGCATGAGTTTGGCACGTTGGTCTTGGAAAGCTCATTATTTGCTTCAACAGATCAGCCGTTTTTGGTTGCTTCTGCAAGTAGGGACAGGCTCATACATGTGTTTGACATCCAGAGAGACTTTAAACTAGTCCAGACAATGGACGACCACTCTTCGTCCATTACCGCAGTAAAGTTCTCGTCTAACGGCACCAAGCTTATCAGCTGCTCGGCTGATAAAAGTGTCATATTTCGCTCATCCAACACCAACACTCTGCAACAAACACCCCTATATACCAGCTATCACAATCATTCAGGACGAGCAACAGTATTTGACATGGAGCTGGATCTGCATGACAAGTACTTAGTGATGGTCACTGGAGAAAGACGCCTCAACTTGCTCAGTTTGGAGACAGGAAAACTTTTCCGTACTTGCAAGCCGGAAACTTTGGAGGAAGATGCAAGTGGGATGACGGTTGAAAATTCTGGAGGGAGTTTAATTGACGTCGATATAGATTCCATTTCTGGGACATTTGCAGTTACCGCTGGCTCGGACAAGTGCGTGCGATTGTTCGACCTTATGAGTGGTGTATGTGTATATAAAGTAGCAGCCCATTCCGAACTAGTTACGTCGGTTCGATTTCTAGATGGACCAAACGACATTCTCCGAATTGTCAGTACTTCGTCGGATGGGTCAATCTTTGTATGGCGAGTTGAGCCAGAAATAACAAAGAAAATGGTGCAGCGCTCGAAGGATAGAAATGATCGACTCAAGCAAACGAAACCGGAGGTAACAACTGAAGCTGCACAATCACGAGCTACCACACCATCATCACCCCAACCACTTAAGCAAGCTCCAACACGCCTGCGTCGAACTTCAGCTGTACCGCCATCACAATTTGGCAATCAAAACGTCAGAACAGAGCGCAAATCGTTTTCCCATGTGTCTAAATCTGAAAACAAGTATGATGACTTGTACAAGAAATTGGAGAAGACTCCACCACCAAGAATACAGACAGACACCCCGCCATCCCCAGTTTTAGCTGCTCGTCTCAAAGGTAGAATTAGTAGTCCGTCGCCAAGAGATGCAAATGCGAAGGGTATGTCAAGTAGTGTTTCGACACCTCGCCTTATCACTGCAGAAGCCGGCGCGCAGAATAATCAGTGGCGAGGAAACTTTATGTCGCGAAAGGTATGTAAAATATCTTGGTATGTTGAAAGTATACAGCTTGATACTCATGTCCATCGTTCTGATAGAAGGAATCCAGTGGATCAGCGACTGGCCAAATTCCAGAAGGCAAAACAGATAATGGAATATCATCGTTGTTTCCACACCGTCAGCCAAGGAACTCTCCAAGGTTACGGCATCGAATATCGCATGATGTTCTTATACAGGACCGAAGGGGCTCGAATGTTTCAGTCGAAGATGGTGCAAGCACATCTCCTCAGCGGCAATCGCATGCAAGCTCAAATAGAGCTATAGCACATCGTCGAAGTAATAGTTCAGCACGACTAAGCGGCCTGGAAGCGGACGAACTTGTCGCTGGATCAACAAGTATGCCCGACTTACATGCTATTGCAATGGGCCGCGCTGGAAAGTTTACAAATGAGGTGACCGCAGAGCCAGATAGTTCAGTAGACTCAGATACAGAGAAGGACAGCTTATATGATGATGTATCTCAAAACGACACACCTATTAGCGCAGATGGAGATGATGATCCGGAAACGGTAGAAGAAGACGTTATGGTATATCTTACTCCAGTTGTTGATACAGCCGATCCGCAGCCATTCCAGGTGGAGAAAGCGGAGCAAGGCAACCTAGATGAAGCGGATGGGGAATGCAACGATAGAGACGATGACGATGCCCAGACATTGCATTCCGACACAGATCTGTCGTCTGCTCCGTCTCAAACTTTCACCGCAGACGATAGCGATAGTTCTAGCGAGGATAATGCGGAGGAAGCATTGATGGAGTCGATTGCCATGCGAAATCCTCCACCAATGTCTACGCTAAGGAAAGCTTCTTTGAAAAAGTCCGGTCGCATGAGTCTACGAAGTATCGTAAAGAGCTTCAATACGGTGAAACCGGCATCTGAATCGTCTCCTCCTCCTCAAAGCAATCACAATCGAGGCGAATCGTTCTCCAACTTCAAGCGCAAAATGGAACAGGCGAAGAAGAGACTCAGTTTTAGTACTCGTTATCTTTCAAATCTCAACCCTCAATCCCCACTCACCGATAACATCAAGATAGAAGATGGGGCCAATATAAGAAGTATGAGCATGCCCATTGCACCACAATCCTTTGCAAAAGCTGCTTCAGAAGGTGCAAGTCGCGAAACTGCTTCAACCCCCATCTCGATCATGCTTACATCAGAGGAATTGGCCGCCATCAACAGCGTACAGACCGTTTCTGACCTAGACATCACGTCGCAACATTCATTCACAGCAGACCCTGACATGCAATCACCCAACGAATCCATACATATACCCCCTGCCACACATGCATTTGATCATGCAAGCATGCTCTCAGAGATAGCAGCAATTGGAGATCGATTAGAGTTCTTGCTCAATATGTGTGAGGTCACCGATGCCAAAAATGCACCTGTTATGCAAGAAGACGTAGGCAAACAGCTGAAGACTAAATTGGAGCATGTTCAAAAATCTGCTAGTAGGATCTTGGAGGACGTCTTCAGTGCACCCCCAACTGAGAGCGCAGCAAGTACGAACAGTGCTGAGACAACAGCGCTGTTAAGTGAATATTCTGAAAAGCTCCTCAAGATGTTTGAGCGCAAACTTGATTCAAAACAGCAACCTCATTGAATCTTATACCCACTGACCACATGTTACATTTTTTTGTTATATGGGATTCTGTCACCCTCAATCACCTGTAACTCTTATTGTAAAAATAAAAACATTGACATGTAATCGTTTGTATAAATGTGATTTTCGTTTTTCATTTTATCTGAAGTACTTTCATGTTTTTTCTCCTCATGGTCATTGCCTACTTGATAAGAAATGACCCTGCTTTGAACGAGAAAGAGGATACAATGGATATACTGCTCAACGTAAATTCCTTGCGAAAAAAGTTGTACCTTGTTACTGCTGTACGTAATCTGTAACAGTATATAACTAATTGTATGTACTAATGCTTCGATCACCATCGCTGCAGTGATCGTATCTCTCCAGTTCGCTCTCCAACAACATCGCCACCTAGATTCTGTAAGCCACTCAAAAAGTCGCCTATGCTGTGCTCTTTCTGAACCATACCAGATTCCAGGCAGAATGATCGAGGTCGCCGTGGATATCGTTCATTTATTCCCTGGTTGCTTTGAACGTTGATGATCCTAGGTGGCGGTGATCCTATCATCATAGAAGTGGGGCGCGCGGCTGTTCGTCTAGACATGTACGTGATTGCATTCTGGCATGCATCATAAGACGGCGGCCGATCACAACTCGCCATAAAATTTTCACGAGCGGATATTGTTGGGCTTGTGGTTGAAACAAGTGGATGTGGATACATCGACTTTCCATCGGGCTGCCAGTTCTCATGGAGTTGATCTGACGCAGTCCAGTCAGAACTTTTCCTTCGTGGCGATGGGGATGGTTCAGGAGGTGGTGGAGTCTTGGGTAGAACAATCCTAGAACGAACAATCAAGTTGGGACTCTCTCGTCGGTTCAATGGTGAAGTAATACGGTTATAGTCTATGACTGGTATTTCGGTATGACCGGTCGCATGGCGAGCTAAGGAGCACAAGTCCGCGCTGACTGACTTTCGATGCCGGACTTCCCTCAAGTTTGTTATTGGCTGGATCAAAATATCCGATCCAACTTCGACATAACACGGTGGGGACATTGGTCGCTGGTTAATGCTTCGGCTACCAATCATGGCAGCAGAGCATGAGGGCGTCGACAATGGGCTTGTCACATTGGTACTAAGAGATGATGATCGTTTTCGTGAGTGTGGTGTAATTCTCAATACTGTTGACGAGGTGGACGACATGGATGAGATGGAGCAAACCTCACTCAACCCAAGAGGATCATCCTTCAAAAACTCTACAGCCGCTTTGAAGGTGACTAATGCAAAGCTGATGGAGAATGGTCAACGATCAAGCAGACTGCAACGGTGGCAAATGAAGACTAACTTACTTCAGATCAGAGTTTTTACCGACTTCAAACGAAAAGTGTTCCATATAAAATATCATGCTGGCCAGTCTTGGTATGCGAGCGTGAATCAGCACGAACATTGCAAGTGGTATAAGTTGATCTGTGGTCACGCAGGCTATTCGCAATAAAACCATCAATTGGCGCCAGTTAACCGATCATTTGTTTTTTCATACCATTACCTTACCTTCATGTGCTTCATTCACCATCGACATGTCTAACAGGTATTTCTCGGCAGCCTGCGATATCCTATCTAGTGTATCTCGAACACACTTTAGCTTTTCCACAGGTGTCAAGGCAGGCTTGAAGTTGATCACCGCTGCGGCTGGGTCAGCACTTCCCTCATCCTCATCCTCTTCGCCATAATGATGAGATATAATTCGATAGCATTCATGATCGGCATCTAGCTGCTGAAGGCAAGCGATTGCTCCAGTTAGGTATTTTCGTGGCATACTTGCTAACTGGCGATTAATTCCGTATTTTCCAAGTGCAAATGTGTCGCGACAATAAGCTACCGAAAGAACTTCCAAGTTGCTATCTTCAACCGATAGAAATCCTGGAAGGCTTTGGATCCAAATCTTGTTGTGAAGCATCTCCATAACCAAGCTATTGGGCACTGTCAGATAGTTGTTACTTTGAAATCATGACTACGACGCTGTACTCACTTTTCGATTCGCTCTTTCAAGATTTTCTTCTCAATGTCAGTCCATCCAATTGCATTAGTGGTGGTTGAATCGTAAATGCACAGCTCCTATTTATGCCGAGAGTTAATATCAATTTATACTGGAGAGGAGGAGACTTCATTCTCATACCTGAGCCGCTTTGCTGCACATCTGACATATTTTTTCAACAGTGTGATCCGTGTATCCTGGAAGGTAAACATATGTCTCCGTAAACTCTCGGACAAAGGCACGCAATCCCTCAATCATCTTTGGGCCGTTGGGAATACTTTTCAGCACGGTCAAATCACTGATAAATAAATTAGTTAATCAAGACATGTTCTCCTTTCTCACTCATTGTTAGACTTGTTAATGAGACTAGCGTATTACATACTCCCCACAATTTTTGAAGGAAGGAGGCGGGTGTATTGAGAGGTCATTTCCGTTCATCAGCTGTCAGTAATTCATATAAGGATGGGAGGTTAACAGGTGTTCAAGATAGGAGGCGTTTGCATAATACGGGAAGGCGATCTGCATTGACGGCTTTCAAGGGTAGTCAATAAATCTCATACCTGATTGTTTGTTGATGTGACAATCCCTCCTTCAAGTAGCTCATCTATCAACAAGACGCGAACTTTTTTAGATTCCAAGTAAATCAACTCCTCATTTAATATACGGATTGGCTTCGATTCTCCGTAACCTGCAAAAGAGAACGAGACATTAGAAGGGTAAGTCAGGTGTAGTGGAGGTTAATGAAGCGTAATTTTTAAAATTATAGAGACGGGATCAACGGCATTTTAAAATGAACCATGGATTTAACGTTTTGACGACAAAGATGCTCAGCAATGAAATTGGGGGTCGCCTTGGGATGGGATAGGCTTCCTCCTCACTCCTGAACTCAAAGGCTGCAAAATAGTTTACCTGAGATAGTTATAACCGCCTCTTGCTCAATGGAAATGACTTTGCCGCTTGCTGATTGGTATTGACCTTGATAGTAAGGAGAGCGGCTAAAAGAATGCGCATCTAGAAACGGTAATTTCATAAAATAGAATTGATTGGTGCTTTGCTCTAACTTTAATATAGTAGCAAAGCTCTCTACTTACCTATTAAGTTCCGGTTCAAAGCAAGACCATGAAGCTGTCTTGAGGAAGGTACGCACACAACACAAGATCTTTTAAAAAGGCCGTCGTGATTGGACCTGATATACAAATAAAAGTCATTGTCCTCCAATTCTTCAAATGGCGATATTACATGAGCCGAATTGCTCGACTGATAACTTTTGGAGGAGCAAGATATCCGAGGCTGACAAATGGACGCTAGAGTAGGGTAGCATTTGGTTTCTGATGGCTTTTTATCTCGTCTTCGGAATAATGGAGGGATGGAAAAAGACATAGCCATCCCGCGCACACAGACAAGGATCAAGTTTTTAAAAGAGTGGAATGAAAGAAGATGGAAATCAACCTGTGGATGACCAAAAATGTAAATATTTTTTCCTACCCAAATGTTTCCTTCAGGAGCCACAATGAATAATATTCGAAGCCACAACCATAAAAGAAAATTATCTCATCTCGCAGGACGGATGACATATGTATGCAGGACAATGTCATTGCTTTGGCCGAAGAGCTATGCATTTTTCTAGCGAGATGCTAAACAAGTTGAGCATGTCATGGTCCGAGAGAAACATTCAATCAGTGACAGCAGATTGATAATCCGAACAATCAGCCGAAATGTGTATGGCTGTTGTCCCCATTGTGGCAGTCTCTCCAAAATCATGCAACCTTGTATGTTTTAAACAAACAACGTGATCACACTTCTCAAACCTTTTGCTCAGCAGATGAGCTAAAGCTATGCAAAATGCTGCATATTACAGCAAACCCCAGGAAGTTCAAATTTTTCAGTGTCGCTGATGTCGCTGTAGTATATATCAATCGCGTATTTTACTGGATCCCGTTTCATTGAGAGGTGAAAGTAGACTTTAAAAGATACCGAAGGCTGTACCAATGAGACTTTTCACTTTGTTTGGCGGCTTCCGCACTGACATATACTGCCAGTTTAAGTGATCTTGAGCAGCTACAAGTGACCATAACATGATTTTATGCATCGTTTCACTGAAAAATTACTAGCACATTTGATTGATGACGCTTTCTTTGAATAGAGAGACCAACAGGGCTCAGCTCTGAGAACGGAGGACAATGGCAGGCTAGAGTCACGTGGTCTCCAAATATGGATTGATTTTTTTCTTCTGTCTTCCATCAGAGTTGCTCCGAAAACAACTCTACTTTAACCATGCCAAAGTGTACACGAAAAGGCTGTGAAAAGGAGTACAAGGAAGAAGTCAATAACGACAGTGGTTAGTATAACATGAAGATGTAGAAGGAGCATTGCTACAACTAGCTAACCACTGCTTATAAACAGCCTGCCAATATCACCCTGGTGCACCCGTCTTTCACGAAGGCTTGAAGGGTTGGTCATGCTGCAAAAAGCGTGTCTCTGATTTCGACGAATTCCTTAACATCCCTGGTTGTGCTACTGGACGCCATACTGACGAGAAACCTGTACAGCCAGCACCTGTTGCTAAGCCAGACTCGCCCGCTCCCTCTACAACTAAGGATGGTATTGAAGTATACAGCAACGGTGCTGCTATTAGCATGACAAACCATACCCCTACACCAACCACTGTAGCAGAAGCCGCTGAAGACACAGAGAAAAAGGCTAAACCTTTAGCTGTAGAGGTTTTGCCGGAAGAAGACGACCTCAGCGTTCCTGTCAAGGTAGGCACTACTTGCAAAAGAAGAGGTTGTGGAGTCACGTATAAGGATGAGGCTTCATCAAGAGGCGAAGGCTCGGAAGCAGCTTGCTTCCATCACCCAGGTGCACCTATCTTCCATGAAGGATCCAAAGGCTGGAGTTGCTGCCCTCGTAAAGTTTTGGAATTTGAGGAGTTCCTCAAGATCAAAGGATGTAAGGAAGGCAAGCATTTGTTCATTGGAGGAAAGAGTAATGTATGTACATACTGCGATTCAATGGATGTATTTGTCTATATATTTTAACCATGGGTATCTCAGAACCAAGAGGAAGAGTTGGTCGACTGCAGGAATGACTGGTACCAAACTCCTACCCACATCATCCTCAGCATTTTCGCAAAGGATAAGGAGGATACGCAGATTACCTTTGAAGAGCAATCAATGAACGTTGATATCAAGATGAAGGGAAACAAGCGTTACAAGTCAACCATCCCATTGTTCCAGGTAAGAGAGTGTATATACATTCCTCTGATCGCTAACAATTTACTCCAGAGTGCTCATCATTGTGCTTTGAATTTATTTCGAATATAGCCCATTGTTCCCGGAGAATCCGCTTTCAAGCCATTAACGACCAAGGTTGAAATTAAACTAAGAAAAGGCAACGGAATATCATGGGCAGCACTTGAGCCAACTGACAAAGTCACCAGCTGGACTACGTTTGGTGTTACAGGAGGTGGCGGTACCGTAGGTGGAAAGGAAATGCTTTACGCCAATGATGCACCATTGCAAGTGAAAAAATAGCTATTTTAGAGTAAGCTAAGAGGTCTGAATTAGAACGAAGGATGCCATCGGGTTAGGAGCATGCTTTACCCTTTCTTTGATATGTGACTTCATGAAAAAAAAAAAATAGGAAATGTAGAAACATCGTGTAGTGTAGACGAAACAAAATAGTAAAATTTTATATGCAATACTTTGGTGTCGTTGCGATACATTGCCTATCGTTGGATGTGTATGTTGCTTTATGCATTGTCATGAATTTGACACTAGCATTGGACCGTAAACATTTTTGGTAACGCTGCTGCAATATTCTATTATGCGCTCTGTCAACCTTTCTGATGTACTTATATCATTGTAGAATTTTCTACTGCAAGTGGTCTGGGAAAAAGCTATGCTATGCAAATGAACGATGCAGCTTGGCCGAAACTGATATTTATGGGCAGTTTCACGATTAAAGAACATGGAAACAAACTTCGTATTAGCCGATAACTTTTAAGATTATATGCCTGACGCACACATTATGTCTGCTGTCAACCTTGAACCCCATCAGCCGGACATGAACCCGTCGCGATCGGTTAGCGGCGATACATACAGCCGCCTATGTTGGCATAGCCTGCATGCAAGGCGTTTTTGAACGTCCGATACGCTGTTCAAAGGCTTGGCATGACCGTATATTCATAAGTTATAGCATCGAGCAATACCTTGTCAGACATCAAGAAGTGTTGACAAGAAAGGAATTTGACTATGACTTAATTTGCGGTAAGGTCATATGATAGCCATTGGTAGCATGCTTAAACGGCCCCGTACCCAAAACATTTCCAATGTTTAGTCGGCAGTAAAAGGGTTAGCGAACTCGCACAAGAAGAATAAGGTAATCGGATAGCCACTTTGTCGTCAATATGATGAGATCAGGTTCGCGGTTGGTTAAATCTTCACTATTGTGCAGTATTGGCCCTTATCATCATAGCCGAGAAAATGCTACTCTGGTCAGCATATCAGCATGATATGCCGCATAACACGATATGAGTAAAAAATTTCTTTAAATTCCAGCATATCGATTCGCGGACTTTTGTGTCAATCTGCCGGGCTTTTGTCTGCCTCAACTTGAGGCTGTGCACGTGACCGGCATATCATTCTTCAGCGGTATCCAAGCATTCTCGCTGCTCACCTTTTGCTTTGGCCTCTCATTGCCTTGAATGAGGAAACAAGCGAAATTCAACAAAAATTTCAATGTTCGCCTTGACGAAGATAAATTTTACTTTCCTGGGGAACGGATAAGAGGTAAGGATGCCTTTAATCTGTCTTGGAAGTGTCATGGTTGTCTTTTACCTCTGCATTGTCCGCATGGGCCACCTTGCACAGTGGCTACTTCCCGATCTGTTCTTGGACTTTTCATTCTTTCGACACTACATCCATATTTACAGAATATTTATTTTAAATATTAACAATTCATTCGAAAATAGGTACTGTATCCGTTTTCCCCACCAAACCAACAAGGACAAACCATATCCGAGTTATCTTCAAAGGCGAAATAGCATCGTTGCTTAAAGATAAAGAGAGTATAACGCTATTCAACAAGGTTAAAATCCTTCCAATTTCAAAGGACGATGAAAGCAGTGCTAAATCACATATCTTGGAAGCCAAATCACACACTTTCCCTTTTGACTTTTTGGTGCCGGAAGATATTGCTTTGCCGAGCAGTATGGAGGTATGTGAAAGGCGACATAATAATTTCAGACCTACGCAATATCCACATCTAATTGTATGCCTTCCTTTACATGATAGGTTTTTAAATATGGTAGAATCCGATATACATTGATCGCAATCCACGATAAACCCATGGTGCCGGAATCCCTTTCACCGAAAGCAACATATAACGTCCCCATTCTGGAACATATAGACATTAGTGTTCCAGAATATACCAGACCAACCGAAAAGTCAGTATCTACCACGCTGGAAGGTGTTGAAGACCGAAGGAAAATTACTGTGAAAGCGAACATCCCGCGATACGGTTACACGCGAGGTAAGCAATTGGGCTGTGCAAAGGAGAAGAAATCAGATCACTTGACCACAAAATTTCTAAACACTGTTCCCTTTGCTTTTAGGTGATATTGTTCCATTAAATTTGTCGATTGGCCATCATAGTCCGTTCTCGCGCGAGAAAGGAATAAAGGTTGAGTTTGTTAGAGTTGGCCACTTTAGTTCAAACAGGTGAGTTGTCGTTCAAAACCACATGGGAAACATCATCGAGATATTGAACATCTATTTTAGGCAAATGGTCGCAAATGAAATAACATTGCGAACGAGTGAATCCAATATCAATATTTATGGACCATACAACTTTTCGCAATCCCTTACAGAACAGATCATGATTCCAACATCCACTCCACCCACCATCGATAAGAAAGGAAAGATTATTTATATCAATTACAAGGTGCGCGTGACAGTCAATCTCAATAGCAAGCACTCTGCCAAGCGACAGAATATTGTTACTGTAGAACTTCCCATTGTTGTTGGAACTTGGCCAAGAGCAGCAGTTCCAATTGATGAAGACGACGAATGGATAGATGGCATGGACAGTATGATGCTTAGCGATGAGGAGGCGCCAGCTGACAACGATAGTTTGTACGACTATAGCACCAGCGAGCAAAACTTTGTGCCTGACATACAGCACAATACATCTTCATCATCTGCAAGTCTCATGCTGCACAATCAAGGCGGACTTCGCCAAAATCCGGAATGGAGATTATCCACTTCATCGACGTCTTCGTCCACGTCATCCGCAAATGCAGCAGCGCGAGCGAATCTCTCCACTAATTACCCTATTACTACCGACAATGGCGTCTTTCGGTCTGATTCTAATGCTTCAAAAGTGTCTGTGAGATCAGCAGCATCGGTGTCGTCCAACAAGTCAAGTCGGTCTCTTGAAACTAATCAAGATAGACTGACCCGAAATACCTCAGTCAGCACCACAGCCTCAGCACCCGAACAGCCAACAGCTAGTGGTCGTTATGTTAGAAATACGCCAGTGCAAGCACCTCCAGCACCTCCACCTCCCCCTCCTTTTAGTCAGCCAGCTTTAATTAAAGCTCATGCTAGTTATATTCCTCGATCATCCTCAGCCACCGACCTGAATCGGCAACCTCATGGTGTGCCTTCTCCATTACCTTTTGTACAGCAGCCTCCCTATGACGACGGAGGATTATATAGGCACCGTGGAGTACCGCCACCAACTAATGAGAATTTGCATGATTCAAGGTTCAGAGGAGGCCGATCGGCAAATGATACAAAACGTTACCATTCAATGTCTGACTCAAACTACCATGGTGTACCAATGAATGGAAATAATAGTCACATGCCTTATCCTCCCTCTGCCAATATGTACGACCATGGACCAGCGCCAAATGGCTTTTTGCCTACCGCTAATAATTACGCTGGCCAAGCAGGAAGACACCACATGCGTACGCCTTCTGATTTATCTCACATGTACCATACGCAGCCTAATTATCCAACAGCAGCAAAGTTTACACCTATGCCAGCTGTACCTGATACCCAACGTACCATGTATCCTTTCTCACAAGATGATGCTATCAGGACGAATCATCACCCTACTTATCCCAACATGCCCCAATTCACTCCACCTCGCCAATTTGATTCTCAAAATGGTTTACCACACCGTCATTCCGATCCTCAGGCTCAGCAACCTGGCGCTGTCATCCATACACCACCTGTCATGCGATCCGGTAGCGATCCTAGTGCCTACCTCAACCGAGATGATAAAGCTTTACTCGAAACACCGTCATCGGCAGCTCCTGAGGTAGAACCATCCGTAGTAGAACCTCATGGATACTATGACTCTTCGGATTCATCTTCAGAGTTTGGAGACGCTGCTGGTTCGGCGTCAGACGATTCCGATGACTCGGATGATGAAGGCGACTTGTTGCGCATTGTTGAAAAGAAGAGAAGACAGGAACAGAAGCAGATGAGGCGACGACAGAGACGAGTGTTCACCATAGCCGAATAGTTTTCTCATTCCATTCTGTATAATTTTGTTTAAAAAAAATCTTACCTCTGTACTAGTTTTTATATGCTTCACACTTTTTTCTTTCATTTGTACATCACCCCTTGTCGCCACCAATCAGATAATTGTATTTTTAATGGAAAAAAAAGAATTTTGAAAAAGAAAATAGGGGGGAAAGGGGATGAACAAAACTGGGGATAAAAAAATAAGCGAAGAGAGAACAAAAAAAAAAGACGGAGGTAAGAAAAGCTGTAGACTAAACTTTTTTCATTGCCGTGGACCAACTTCCTTGAAGCTTGCAGTTTGCGGGGAATACAGTCATTTTCAAATGACAAAAGAGAGCATTAGATGCAAAAAAAAAGAATACAAATTACTAAAAGAGACTTCGTTTGGAATGACGATCAACGATGACCATCACACTTGGCTCTGGAAACTCGAAAGTCAAGGGTATCTCGAAAAGAATGCTCAATGTTATTATATCAGGCCGTTGTGGAAGCCTTCTGATTTTTTTTGGCGCGTAAACCGCATGCGTTACACAGACTATTAGGCGTTTAAACAAGTTAAAACCTTACGGATAGACCTTTCAAGAACATATCAGAACAAAGGGATTTGCACTTACGTTTTGGGACCTTTAGGGCCTTTACGCCATTCAGGAGATTCAGTAGTGCCACAGTCTGGATAAGATAGACATTGGGTCAATCGGCAAAATTATAACAAAACTGCGATGTGGATAGCGGTGTTGGTTCTCAACCAAAATAAATAATTCCTGTCTTACCTGTGCACACATGTACAACAGAAGTATCCTTAACTCGTTTTTTCCTTTTGTTGTTTCGGTCAAGGGTTGCAGCATCTACTTGATCTTGATTGGCAAAAGTGGACGGATTAAGGATTTGAATGGGGGTGGTGTCAAGAAGGGAGCCTGTCAAAGCCGACAAATCGAGTGTGGGGTCGAGCAGTTGAGCTGCTGTAGAACCCGTTGAGATACCGTTTGAACGCTCTCCCATGTCATAACGGAGACCAGTGAACATTTGCAGAGCTTCAGAAATGTCGTTGCTAGGCGTGACACCCAAAGTATAAACGAAAGGTGCGTTGTTCAAGATAGGTTGGTAAGGAAGCATGTCAATATCCGCTGTGTCATCAACAAAGCCTTGTGCCTGCTCGCTGGAACTGCTTTCTTGGACTTGGCTATCCTGAGAGAAGTCAGCGGGGATGCTATCCGAAGATTGCTCGCTGTTCTTTCTTGAAGGTTGACTTGGAGATTTGGAAACATCCCTTTGCTTTTTAGCCTTAGCTTCATTGATTTGTCGTTCTAGCATTTCTTTTTCCATTTTCAATTCCAAGAAGGTATCAATAAGGTTGGCAGCCTTGTTGGGATAAACTTTGCCTGTGGCGAAGAAACAGAGTGGCACTGAGGTCTGTTTTCTATCACCTTCCCCAAAGTAAGCATGACCAACCATCTCCAGGCTGATATAGGTGGAGTCTTTCTTTTGGAAACGATAGTAAAGGTGAAACTTTCGACGTTGAAGACAACTTTCACGAAATTCTCGCTGAAATAAATCTTTATCATCCAAGTGAATAAAGTCAGACATTTGGCGGTCAACCAGTTCTTCGGGGGCATATCCAAAGAGCTCAGTAGTGGCAGGCGAGCAGTACATGATCTTTGCTTGTGGAGAGAGGACATGAATGAAGTCTTCAAGCTTGTCGATGATTCTCTGCGACCAGTTTTTGCGCCGGGTGAATTCAGTCAAGGTACCGCGAGTGGCGCCTTGCTGATTGGCATTTCGAAGCGAAGATGAGGCTGGGTTGAAAGAAAAAGTTCTCACAGTGTACGCGGGTTGCTTGTGGGGCAACTTATCATCTTTCGTCATGTTTTAAATTGCTAGTGATGTCTTTTTTTCTGAAGTGGGCACTTCGGCAAGAAAGTGTGGATCGTCCGAAAACGGGACAGCAACTGCGCTGTTCAAATTGTGACTGTTGTTGGAAAACGGAAAATCTGGCCCCTCACTCAGACCATGACAGCCACAGCCTCAGTCACTGGCATAAGTCCAACCACCTCACATCCTAATATAATGGCAGAGGAAGAGAAGAAAACAAGAAAACCCAAAGGTTAAGACCATAGTCACTCTTTGTATACTATGCTTTCCATCGTTCATAATTCACCTCTCTAATCACTTGTTCATGTATACTGCAGATTCGGCATTCAGACAACAGCGTCTGAAAGCCTGGCAGCCCGTGCTCACTCCACGCTCAGTTCTGCCAACATTCTTTGTCATTGGAGTGATTTTTGCACCCATTGGTGGTGTACTTTTCTGGGCAAGCAGTAACGTAAAGTCACATTTCTATTGCTATCATGCGCATAGGCGCCACTACATGACAATAGCAGACGTCTAATGTTTTACCACCATCTATTACATTCCCAAACCTCTTACAGGTCAGCGAAATAGTCATTGACTATACTCACTGTGACGAATATGCTAGTCCCGTTAACCTGCCACAAAACTTATACAGTTTGCAATTCTCTGGCCAACCAGACTTATCCACTCTGGAACCTCCTGTCTACCACTACCAAAATAGTACGACATTTTTGGATACATCCCGACAAAACCCAAACAATCTGGTTATCCCGCAATGCATCATTGACTTCACAGTACCTCAAGCTATGAAAGCTCCTATCTTCATCAACTACCGATTGACTAACTTTTACCAAAATCACCGCCAATATATTAAGAGCTTTAATGCCGACCAACTCATGGGTCACCCAGTTTCCGCTGGGTCTTTGGGTCCAGATTGTGACCCACTGAGAGAATCTGGTGGCAAAGCTGTGTATCCTTGTGGGTTGATAGCGAATTCTGTATTCAATGGTAACAATTACAAATTGTACCTAATGTGTCCGTACATTTCATCACCCTAATCATGATTATCTTCTGTTTGTTTAGATACATTATCTAACCTAATTGCTGTCAACAGCAATGGCATGCAAAATTACTCATTCGATTCTAACAATATTGCCTGGCCGTCGGATTTGCAAAAATACGGAAAAACTCAGTATTCGCCATCACAGATCGTCCCTCCGCCGAACTGGGCATTACAGTATCCCAACGGAAAGTTTGACGATCAACATCCTCCACCGGACCTTTCGCAAGATCAGCATTTAATGGTATGGATGCGAACAGCCGCGCTTCCCGACTTTCGTAAGATATGGGGAAAGAACGAAAACACTGACTTACCGGCTGGAAGATGGAGAATCATGATTGATTCCAGTATGTATACCTATTCCCTATCTCGCCTGTATGCGCTTGATAATAGGAAAAGAAAAGTTGACATAATACTGAAATTTATTACCAATAGATTTCAACGTAAAGAAGTTTGCTGGAACGAAATCCATTGTTATCTCTACCACCTCGCCCCTCGGTGGCAGAAACCCTTACCTCGGAATCGCCTATATGGCTGTTGGTGCGTTCTGCTTGCTGCTTGGCGTCATCTTTACTATTCGCCACTGTGTTAAGCCTCGGTAAGTCTGATGCTTATGAAGTGGAGTGCATGAAGACTGTTTCTCTGATGTTAACTCGCCTTAAATTTGCCTTCAAAATTTCAATAGAAAACTTGGTGATACATCCTATCTCTCTTGGAACAAGCCGGATGGTGGTTTACCAAACACAGGACACGTACTTCATCAAGAGTAAAAAGCTTCTCTATAGCTTTCAAGTCGTTTTCTTGCGAATTTTCCAGTGTGTCCATTGGTTTAATGGCCTCGCTTGCTGTAATTTTATAAACTTCATAAATCGTGTTAAAATGAAGAATCAGATCGATTTTATTGCCAAATAGTGACAGTTTTAAGTCACGCATAAGCGTTCGCAGCGATATTGTTTGTTCTGTACCGATTTCAACCTCCACTACGACATCTTGCGCAATGATGGCGTGCTCTATATGCTTACATATACTTTTTATATAATTCACAATGTATTGCGTCTTACCTTCCTCCACAAAAAGGGTTATTTAGAAGTATTGGTTTACATTTGGGTTCAGGGCTTTACAAACTTTGAAAGCGAAAATTCCCCCACACTAATCGTGTTTTGACAGTGCCAAAAAAGCAAAAAAATCATGTGTGGAAAATGTACGCCTTCTCCCGGCTAGTCGCTTTCAGGTGAACGTTCGGACTTTCGGATGAGTTGCAACTTTATTCCAAGTGTCTGGTATTAAAACTCTTTGATGAACGGTCGAGTCTCTTGTACTCCTACATCTCACACTTGATGATCGATCAAAAGAGCAAGACTCAGTCTATAGAGGATCTTACTACCAGTCGTCATGTAGACATTGATACTCTGGCTGTTGAGCTAGGTATTGATGAAAAGAAGCTCATGCGCAAGATCGATTGGCATGTACTTCCAGTACTGTGTGGATTTTACCTTCTTCAGTCCATTGACAAGGTAAAGTATCTCAATTTGCTGACTACCGAACAAGTGTAAGTAAGAGTCTTCGAAACTGAATTAACCAGTGCTGATTTACTGACTGTAGGGCAACATCGGTCTTGCGAAATTGGGAGGCATCCAAGATGATACTCATACCTCTGGTTCGTTGTTCAACTGGGCTGTCTCCATGTTTTATTTGGGAGTAGGTATATCATAGAATACGACTCATAATTAGACTTGTGACGCTAATTCAACGCTACTAGTATGTTGTTGCGGAAATACCATGCAATTTGGCATTACAAAGGATAAACCCTCGGTGGTGGATTAGTTCCATTGGTTTGTGCTGGGGCGTTGTGGTTTGCTTGATGTCTTTGACAAAAAGCTTCGCCACCTTGTCCATAGCTCGCTGCTTCTTGGGTGTATTTGAGGCTGGCGTTCTACCTGCTTCAGTATTGATCACAGGTACATGTTACTTTTTGCTGAATCTCAGCCACCAACGGAAACGATGAACATTGCTAACACCCTACTTAGCACTCTGGTATAAGCGATCGGAGCATGCTCTTCGAACCGCTATATGGTTTTCTTTCTCCTCGCTTGGCACAGCTGTGGGTGGTTTGATCTCCTATGGTATTCAAAGCCATTTAGTGAATACAAGTATTCGTCCGTATGTGTCGCGATTCTTCCTTAGAAATTCTACAGTACACTTTAGATTAACAGTACATATTCTTTGTAGCTGGCAGTGGCTAATGATTATAGAAGGAGTCTTTACAATCGCTTGGGCCTTGGTCTCCTACATTATATGTCCAAACGTACCTGAAAAAGCTGGATTTTTGACGGAAAATGAACGAACTTTCATTCTCAATCGTCAGCGACTGGACAAGACTCAGACGTCTCTTACCTTTGATAGACGTCAAGCAATCGAAGCCATTTTAGACTACAAGACTTGGTTTTTGTTTTGCATTTATTTTATTTGGCAAGCTGTGAATATTGCCTTCTCTACATTCAACCCATCCATCATTGCTGGTTTGGTAAGTATAAGCTTCCAAGTCGGAATACAATTAATGTAGAGCATGCATCTGATTCATTTGTTTTAGGGTTATAGCAATCTCAACGCACAGCTACTATCAGCGCCTTTTGCCCTATTCAATTTACTTATTCAGCTTGTTGTGTCGTGGAGTTCTGACAGGTTCAATGATCGAAGTTATCATCTTATTGCCTGTGGCTTGTTATCTATTGTTGGCTATGTGTGCATCGTCGCCATTCCAACCACTCCACAAAACTCTGGGCTACTTTACGGTCTTCTTTTCTTCACTTCATTCAACTCGGGATCACTGACTTTAATTCTCGGTTGGATGACTAATACCATCATTGGTCACACTAAGCGCGTTGTCGCTTCTTCCATCATCATCATAGGATCTTCACTGGGTGGCTTCGTCGGCTCCTTGATTTACCAAGATGGGCAATATAGCCGTGGCCATATCGTTAACCTTACCTTAATTTCAGTAGCCTTGATACTGGCTGCTGTGCTTCGCTCACTTCTCATGTGGGAAAACCGACGTCGTGATAAACTTGCGAACGAGGATCCGTCACTGGCTCGCGTAGAAAACCTTGTGGAGGATGTGGATATGATTGTAAAGGAAAACTTTACGGACAAAGACCCACGTGTAAGATATAATCTCTAGTATAAAATTATTGCTGTAACGTATAGATACAATATACATATATAAACCATATGTGTGAATGAAAATGGACATTTGCTAAATACTCAACTTATGATACCGGATGCATTATGGATTTGGTCGGAATAACCAACTCCCCTAACCCTGATATGGGCCATGATGCACAATTTATTGCCTTGGCGACTGGCTATCAAAAGAAACAGAGACAGATTGCTCGGAAGACTTTTCAAACGATGCAGTTGAAATCGAGCCTTATCATAGCAGCAACTCTTTTCGCTGCCGTTACCTCGGCAGCTCCAGATTTCTGTACGCCTGGGTATCAACCTATCCAAGATAGTAACTTAAAGCTCGATCTTACAAAGCTTAGCAGGTAAATATGCCAACAGTACCACATCTGCCGAATTCTTTCTGCTCATTAACTCATTCTTTCTACATTAGTCCAGAAGGCTTTCAGATTATAACAGAAGCGTCTACTCCACCAACCACCACTAAGACTGAGGTCAAAATCAATCTGTGTGGCCCTTTGAATCAACCAGAAGGTGCAAATCAAGATTACTGTAGAACCGGAGCGGTAAGTATAAATGAGGTACGAAATTGGCTGATACCAGCAAGTACTCATGAACTGCTATGTAGTATGTTTGCAGACGCGTTATCAACGTAAAGGATGGTAATGAGAGGGTCACGGAAGTTCAAGAAATTGCTGGAGAGATAGAAGGGTAATAACATAATATAGTAGTTGCAACATGATACCAGCGAGAATGGATGGACTTAACGGCACCATATGTCTCTACAGATCTGTACTGGATTCATCATTGACACTACCAGAGAATGAGAAAGACCTCTCAAAGAGTATGTCTATGCTATTCACAAAATGGTGATGCTGATTTGGTTGACTAATTCGTTTTCATAGACGGCGTACAATATGTAATTACATTGAAAGGTGGAAAGGTCTTGGATACCCCTCAGTCAACTAAAATTACAATGGAATGTGATGCCAATGGAGACAAGAACGTAAGTGGTACTCACACTCGTGAAAAACAATGAATATGGCTCGACATCTAGTTTAAACCGTCTTAACTGGAGTTTGTTTTAGGCTGATCCTCCAGTTAAGCCAACTGTCAACTCTTATACAAATGGTGTATTGGACTTGTACTGGAAAACACCCTTTGCTTGCGCGTACGTTCTTGAACAAAAATGGATAGTGATATAACTGTAAAGTTTGGAGTCTGACAACTTTTGCACAATATCTCCAGGACAACTGAACAGATCCCTAGCCAGCCAGATAATGGTGGTGATGGTAATTCTGGAAACGGTGGCGGTGGTGGTGGTATGTCCGGTGCCGGTATCTTTTTCTTGATGTAAGTAAGCTGAGCAAAAAAAGAGATTGGTTGACGCCTACATTACTCAACATCGTTTCAGCGTTGGCATTCTCGTTGCCTTATATTTTATCGGCGGAGCTTTCTATAACTACAAGCAATACAACGCTCGTGGCCTAGACCTCATCCCTCACAGAGGTAAGTTTACCAAGCAAAGGAGTCATGAGCTTTGGCGTACTCAAATAGTAACAAAATGCAATTTTTAGATTTTTGGCTGGATTTACCATACTTGATCAAGGTAAGTTTAGCAGGCATTTACGAGATTGGACGAATGCCGACTAACAAAGAATCTTTTTTGTACTACCCACAGGACCTCTTTTCTCATCTCATGGAATCCATATCTTCACGCCGAAGAGCTGGAGATGGTTATGTATCGGTCTAAATTCACAAAGTGAGAGCATCCGACAGCTGAGACTACGATAATCACAAGTGCCTTCTTAATATTCATTGCGTAGATCAGCAATGTGTATGCTCCCACTAGACCTATAGCATAGACCCATTTACGAATCATCTGAATAACAATCCAACATATTCTCTATAACGTTTATGTAGCGTAATGTAAAATGCTGGATAATACGTGAAGTATCTCATGCTATCTTAATGAGAAACGCATCATTGGCACAGATAGCTTAAATTACAGGCAATTTCTGGAATGATTAGTTAAGATAGATGTACTGCTCCAGAATGAGCTGTTTATATTGATGCTACGTTTCGCATGAGGATAGCCTATGAGGGAAACGAAGATCGTCTAACAGATAAGCGTCATAATATTTGTTTTTGTACACACGGCCGAGCCCGCGAGCCTCGTCAAACGCTTGTTAGTTCGAAATACGCACTATAGATGGGAGTTAGTCTGAGATGGAGTCTGGCCATTACACCTGCAGGTTAAAGCTCACGTTTGTCAGGCGTCAGAACTCTAGAGCTTCCATCTCTCAGTTCTTGAACAATAAAATCTATTCTATCCCTAGCAAACTAAGGTACATCAGCACATTGGATATGCGCGATATAAATCACGGTTTATACCGACTACAATAAATGAAGAACCCTTTTCAATCACATTTTCCTTATCAATGGTTTTGATTCTTGGTTTGAGACAATCCCATTTTCCCGCGTCACCAATCAGATCGAGGGTCACGCCTCAAGCACACAAAGCATTTGTTCCCAGCGGCAATCAAATTACCCACATGCTGTTACGATCGCGAGCTGTGGCAATCGAGTCTTAACAGATAGTAACTTCTGAACTAATGAGACTCTAGGTTCATTAATCTTTAAAAAATGAGCTTCGAATGGGCTATTGATGCATTGTTTTTCTCATATAAGCTTCTTTCCTATGAGCGGTGTGATCTGGTATAACCATTGCCTTCCAAAGAATCATAATAATGTAATTGACATGAAGGCATTGAATCGACACTACCCAAGGTGGCAGATAGTCCATCGGCCCCCCGAACTAGAAGATAATATCAAAAGATATCCAGGATATTTTATTTCAAATGGTGTCATTTTCAGTCGTTGGCATGTATCGTCGCAAACCTCAAGCGAAGGAATTGCACATGCATCTGCTACGTTTACATATGCTCGCAGCATGTTTTGAGCGCTGAAACAACTTAACAATGAGAAAAAGGGTGCTAGTGTGACATTCTCGGAGTGTGCAAAAATGTACTGTAGGGTCCATCATACACAACTGTACCTGAATAAAGTTCAAATAGCTTAAAAGTGGCGCCACTCGATCCAAAGAGCTCGCGATCGGTAGAATAGTGACCAGCTCATTACTGCCATTAGTTCTTCGGCGTTGTAATACTGGTTCTAGCAGCTGACCAAATGAAGAAGTTGATTCGGGGATCAATGTACGACCTAATGCTTCGATGCACAGTTGAACGGCTTTGTGATCCAAGTAAGATTTGACGCTGCTCGATTGTGGACCCTTTCCGTTGCTGCATACCATGATCATCGCTGTTGCTGGTGAAAATGAACTAAATATGGCTGATGTTCCGAGGGTACTGGGCATATCATACGACGGGGAGATTACCGGATTTGAAAAACCCCACGCTTGGTTCTAGTTTCAGGGTCTGAGCATCAAAGCTTTCTTTCAAATATGATTCGGACTTTGGTCGGTAAAGCAAATACCGGCTATGACTACATGTCGCTTCTTCTCCACGCCTTGCTGTATGCGGCCTGCTTAAAGTAGTCTTTAACTTTTAGAGCTCGTTTGACACAAATCATGGATGCTATCTGACAGCCTCAAATAAACTGGAAGTAACGTCGTACCTGGTGACACTAAACGCAATGAGCTCCAGATCGAGTAATAATCTCCATTAAACTCCTACCATCTACGTTGTGAGCATCGACGAACACTTCTCTACCAGTAGCTGCAATATCTGCCTCTACCGTCGTACATTAGCATATGCTTTGTGCCACCATATGATAGAAGAGTAGCTCTGCACTTAACCAATTCTGATCTTTAGCTGCCGGCCATCCATGCGCAATTCGCAGCCGATGGCTCCTTGGAAAGACGGGGTCATTTGTTTCATGGCACTATTTCTTGATAGAATAGCCCAAAGCAAGTTATTTGCCAATCATTTGTTCCAAAATTAGGCGATTCCAAGCACATTTTAGTGAAAGTAATAAAAATAACACGGTTCGCTTGCGGCGCTGATCCATTTACGGCCATTGGATTGGAAAAAATCGTGTGACCAAACTGAGCCTCAAATATAAAATGGCCTGCATCTGAGAATTTGATAATACGCTGACACCTCCTTTTTATTTTACCATTTTTTTTCTCAGTTTCTTTTCCCATTTTCTCTGATCCAATTATATGAGAGCTTTTGACTGGAATAGGGTGTTAACTCTGAACAAGGAGTACCTCAGCGATAAGCAGGTTGTAGAGCAGGCCGAAGAAAGAGGCGAGGACGTCCCTGACTGGGACAAAATCGCCCAAACCACAGTATGGGAACGATGGGCCTACTATCTTTATTAGTAAGTATAAGTACATACATCTAAAACATTATTCATATCTTACTTATACAAACCATTTCTATTAGCAATGGAGTAAGTGCAATGAATACAATCTATTTAGGAGAAAATCAAAGCCCTACATCGAAACTGACTGACTTTTTTATTACTACGTTCAACCTTTTTTTCCGACTATCTCTCTCACTCGACTTTTAGAACAACGGTGTAAGCAACATTATGACATCCTCACATAACGTCTATGGCAGCGATCTCACATTCATATACACCCATAGGTGAACAACTATTCTTATGTTCCTGCCGTCATACAAAATCTGGCTTCTATGGATGGTTGGGACCCAACAACCGGAGGAGCTTGCGACGTTCAAAATGGCGGGCCATGTATCATACAATTCGGAGCTGGAACTCTAAATGTAACATCGATGGTCCTCTTCAGTCAGGGAATCAGTTTTTTCATTCAATCACTGCTGTTGCCGACAATTGGTAATTCACATTTTCAATTTATGATCAATAGAAATGGCATAGTGGTTGATTAACCAATCCTAAATAGGTTCATTGGCGGATTATGGCAGTCATGGCCCTAAGATTTTGTTGTGGATCACCTTGATTAGTTGTGCAGCTCAGATAGGATTTCTTGGTTTTAGTGACCAAGGCTGTAAGTATTGTCATCACAAGGAGGGATCATCGCTCATATAAAACATGAGACTGATATTGCTTTAGGGACTTGGTGGATTGCTCTCATTGTTGGAATCGTTGTCTACGTCACATACGGCGCATCTCTTGTTTTTTGTAGGTGCAAATTTTGGCTCGAAAATGAAATTATTTGGTAGGGGTGACTAATGAAATTTTTCAACAAGACGCGGCAATTTTCCCTCGTCTATCATTGAACGACCCGAAAGTTCGTACTGCTCGTAGAGAGGGTATGCCACCGGCCGAATATTCTGCTCTGGAATCTATCACTAGAAATCACTATTCAACCATCAGCACTACTTGGAGTAATATTGGTTTCTTGTTGATCTCAATCATTTTGATTGGTGTTTTCCAGGGACTAGCAAATTTATGGGGAACCGATGCTAACTCCCTACCCAACTTTTCGTAAGTATATGTGATGACATGAGTCCCATACCTCAGGTTGATTGATCATATCTCCCTTCTCTGTTGTAGCCTCTCAATTGCTAGTGCCGTCTGTGGTGGATTCTGGCTTATTTGTGCCATTCCCTGGTTCTTTCTTGAAAAAAAGCGACCTGGCGTCCCTCTTCCAAGCAACCAGAACTATATGACACAAGGTTGGATATCCACGTAAGAACATTAAAGGAAAGAGTCACCCATCATCGACGGAAGTATTAAATTAAGTATGATCTTCTGTGTAGCGTAAAGGCGTTTAAGGAATGTAAGCGATTGCCACAAACATTCTGGTATCTGCTTGGTTATTTTGTTTTAGCAGGTTAGTGTGTATATATCAGCTACGTTTCAGCCACAGGAGTCGGGTCCGAGTCGTTAACCCAATATTGCATTTAGACGCTGTCAATACCACTGGACAAGTTGTATCCGCTATCCAAAACCAGCTTGTTACCTTCTCCGGTTCCTTGCTGACTTTCTTTGGATTGGTCCAAGCCATTGCTTCTATCATCGGTTGCCTTGTTTTCCTATATGTTCAAAAATACTTTAACCTCAAAACCAAAACTATGCTTCAGGTGTCCAATGTCTTTACTCTTTTGATTCCTATTTGGGGTTGTATCGGCTTAGGCACACAAAGTATCGGTTTCCATGATGTTCGCGAAATGTGGGTCTATCAGGTTTGGTTCGGAATCTTCACAGCGCCTTTCTATGCATATACCCAAACTGTCATGTAAGTTGACCGATGTATGATAATAGTTTCTGCGAATAAATAGCGCTAACTTTATGGCAGGTCCGAGTTGATTCCACAAGGCAAAGAAAACATGTTCTTCGCTCTATTTGGTATTGCTAACAAAGTCAGGTATGTTACATTCATATCTTTATCGGAATGTGACCTCTCGCGGAAAAGGTAACCGGACAAAATTTTCAGCTCTTTCATTGGTCCAACGATCATCGCCGCCATCATTAATGCTACTAACAATCAATGGTCTGGCTTCCCAATTTGCGTCTTCCTGCAAATTTTGCCAATCTGCATCATCTGGCGTGTCGATATGAAGAAGGCTGCTTTGGACATTAAGATGTACGAAGAAGAAGAGCGACAAAAGAAATTGGCTGAAAGCCTCGATGGCGATAGCTCCGGTTATAAGGAGGAGGTGCACGAACCAGTGGAGAGAAAGTTTGATAACGAGAAGACAGAGGAGTTATATTGATTACATCGTACGCGTATGTTATACCTTTACATCTATAATATAAATAAAGCAAACATCTGTTTTTACATGGTAAAATTGCGAATGCTACACCAACTAGCTTCAGGTCGTAAGGATGTCAGAGTGGTGGACTTTGTAAATGGGATATGGCTGCCTTTCAAATCTCGGCATACGGTTGTATTCGGCTCCAGCGAGTAAAATGTATTAATTCTCCCTTTGACGGCTAGAGTTCGTCTGATAATGATCTGCAATTGAGAAAATATTGCATGGTTTCGCTTTACACCCGTCATATACGTAACAAATAAGGCTTTATTGTTGGGGTTACGAGGATATGTATCAATGCGCTTCTTCGCTGGCTATATTTATCCCGGTAAATTTATCTGATGGGCTCATGCCGGGGAAAGGAAATATGTATACTTTTAAAACGATTTGTCTATCCGGGAACCGGAAGAACAAGAAACCCAAAAAAAAAGAAAGACGATATCCAGTTGCGAATAAATGGACTGGGGAGCCCAGCCATTAGCGGAAAAGCTTGGAAACTTTTTTGGAGCATGGACATTCCACATGCGATTCGGACGCCCTGGTGGCGGACCCTTCAGCAGAAGATACCAACCAAAGAACGATTACATAACATTTTTCCCGGCGAACATAGCACAACGTGCACAATATGCCAAAAGGAAAATGAATCTTACAAGCACTTCTGGGTAGAATGTGAAAAAAAAAATGGAAATTCTGGATGAGAAGGATGAATTTTAACAAAAGTGCCGCTTGAGATACGGTTGAAAGACAAAATTTGGAGTTTGATTTGCTTACAACAGATTAATCTGCAAGATGAACAGATTTTGAAGGAAATGGGACGAGTCATGCTCGCCATTTGGATAACTCACTGGAATTGCATCAATCAACAGAGAGTATGGCCGGACCAAGCTGCTTTCAACATGTACGAATCAGTCATCCTGCCTACTAATGACCGTTTCCTCCAACCGAAGGAAAAGAAGGCATGCAGTGGATGGATACAAAGTACGAAGTGAAAAGTCGAGGCAAAATTGAGGTTTACGTATAGAAAAGATGCAGATGCTTCCAAGGTCAGTAAAAGGAAGGATTCCCTCATGAACGTCCAAATACAGACTTCGAACTGATGATTCCCTTCCACAACATATTTGACTCAAAACGGACGCAAATGAAAGCTTTGGATTGGCTACTACTAGCTCCATGGCGAGACCTAAAATTCACGGAACTTCGAAATCGACGGCTCGATATCTCTAGTATATATAACAAAAAAAGAAAAACTTTTCTTACAGTATAGCAATTAGTATAAATAACAATCAATACATCAGTCAACAGAATTTCAGAAAATAAAAGTAACTCACTGAATACAAAAAAAAAGTCTATCCGGGAACCAGGAGGTAGCAATAGACCCCAGCAGACAAGGTGATCTGGTGGAAGATGTCCCTCAACAGATGGCCAAACCGATCACACATGCATAAAATATATCCCAACAGCTGTCTCTCACCCGCTTACGACGTTTGCTCAAACACAACCGAAGACATCGACCATATGCTTTTCGACTGCCCACCAAAACTTCGATTCTGGAAATACACCTTCACTCTCTTCAACATATGGCTTGTCAAAAACCTCCCAGTGCCAAGGAGATGTTTGACACCACAAAATATAGTAGAAGGCTCCCAGTACCTATGGAGCAAAATATGGCCCAAACCGCAAACCCTCCAGCAGCATTGTATCAAGCATGGCCATAGCGACCATCTGGCGCTGCCATTGGAAATTCGTCTTCCGCGATGAAGAACAAGACAGACTGACTTGTGAGCAATTGGTGAAGTCATTGTGGCACACCCTGTCGACAGAATACAAGACGACGCAAAAAGAAAAAAACAACTGGTAGAGAAAAAGAGTGGTGGAGTGATCCAATGGCTCTGTCCATATCATCCGCCCTCGCATTTTCATATCCCTATAAGCAGTACAATCTATCTCACACTGAATACAAAAAAAAAAAGGAAGTAGCAATAGCAGCCAGTGCATTAAGGTCTTCCTCTGGCTCCATTTCGAGCTGTAGCTGTAAAGACTAAGCGCCATCTGTTGCGTCTTTATTTTTATTTTATTTTGTATTCAAATGTTGCGTCTTATGGCGCAAAGATATTCGTCCGGAATCCATCTTCTTCTCCTCTATACTGCATTTCCAATGGAATTGCCATATTGACACTATTTTTTTTTTGTAGGACACTAGTATGAGATTTATTGCGGATAGGATTTGCTTTCCTGAGGCCATGCAATGCTCTTTAAGTCAGACAACCGCAGCAATTGCCAGAGCTTCGTCGGCGAGTCTATATTTTCTCTGCGGAAAGTAGTGCTTTGAGGGCTGGACTCCACACCGCTCATCATTACTGGCAACTCACCATCCTCCAAGGATATGACTTTATACGGCTCCTTCAGAAGCATGGGCTCGAACAATTTTTTTTTTTTTTTTGTATTCGGTTTTATTGTAACAATTTCGTAACACTTGTTTTGGGTTAATATTAATTAAAAGGTACTAGACAAAATGTCCATAACGTAACACTTATGGTGTACTAAGGCTCAGGTGAGAAAGTAAAACCTGACGGCGCTTGTATTGGCTTCTTGGGTGGTGGAGGTGCAGGTGGTAAGAAAGTAAAATCCGCCAGCGTTGGCGCTGGCTTCTTGGATGGCGATGTTGGTCCGAGTGGAAGCGGCGTGCTGTCGTCTTCCTTGGTCGTAGCTGTCGTCTTTGAGGTTCTTTGCTTTAGAAGGTTCAGTTTGTATCCTGTCAGCGCTTTATGTGCCTTCAATCGTCTACGTCGCTTTTCTGGTCTTTCTG